GGAGTTTCAATGTTTCTAATAAACGGGATGTGAATGCAGCTCAGAGTTGACTGAAATCAGTCCAAGCGACTCTCTCATATCTCTAACAAACATTTTTGCAAGAATTACATATTTGATTCGCCCCAAAAACTACGTACCTACGATTATTGCTTACCATACCAAAGAGCCAGTATCCATCTGGGCAAACACAAAAACTTCCTTCACCTATACTTCTTCACTCTACCCCAAAAAGTCGAAGAATCATGCAAAAACATTTGGAATCGATACTTCTTGCATAAGCTCAATTTAATTGTGAAACAAATAATTGTTAATATTGAACGAACTTTATCAAACGTTTTCTAAGCTGTATGTTGTCAGCAAATTGGCTGTTTCATAAACTAGCCACTTGCTTTGAGTTGATCTATTATTGTTAGACGAAGCTAGCTCAGTAGATTTACTGCTTTTGAAGGAAGGAACCTTGTTTTTAATCTAAAAAACTTGGTCAGGTTAGGGAATTTACCTCCTCCTTTTGCAGTATTCCGACATCCTGGCTCCAGTAGATGAGGGGATTTAACTCGCAAGGTTTTCACACTACCTATCCCATATCTCTCTTTTCCCCCACTAAATTGAGACTAAAGACGTTAAAAGGCTCAACATTATTGCATTTTAGATTTGAATCATGGATTTTGATGGCTAAACTGAGAGACTATATATCTTAGTTTGCAATATTGCATACTTTTCGTCATACTTCATATTTTAATTGGAGGCTGTAATTTCTGAAATTTCCTTGAATTTTCCTCTCCATTTAAAAATTCCAAGCCATTGAATTGTCTCGTTTTTTTCAAGAAATGAAGTAGGATGGAAATTTTGGATTGCCACAATTAAGGTGTCGTCACCTTCCGATCAAAGTATCACAAGCGCCATTTGTGTTTAGGCACTCTGCCAAACTTCTGAAACTTCTCCAATGTCTTACGCAAAAACTATCAAAACTATGAACAGAATCACTTAAAAATGTTAGCTAATATTTCCTAATATTAAAATTAATCCCTAAAATTTTTACGAAAGTATGTGTAGAAGATTTAAAGAAGTAATTTAAACAGTATTTATTGAGATTTCCGGTAACATAAGCGACGAAAACGCAAATGGCACTCGAATTGAATTTGGCGCTTGAGACACTTTGGCCGGAAGATGACAATATATTGTCTCTTAGTTCAGCCATCGATTTGCAACTTGAGGTTTGAGTTCGTTGGATACTTCAACTTTCGAAACCAATTCTCATCAGGTGTTTCAAATTCTGACATTCTTCATTGAATTGAATCTCTCGATTCGAAAAGGACCCATCTCGGGCAAAACGAAATCGTTCAGGAGACGATAAAAACTGTGTGGCAGCCAAAAAATTAGTGATTCTATACAAATAAATGAAAATTCTTTAAATACCTAAGTTGGGTTGTCTTGGAATTGAGAGATTCAACTGGTAGTGTGATGAAAAAGCTGATGAATTGCGGATTTTGCCTGTGTAACTTCATCTGTAGATGTCTGGAGTCTTAATTTTTACTTTGTTGTTAATTTGATCACCTCTTGTGTTATTTTGTAAATACTGTCTTGATACGTAGGATTGTTATCACGTTTTATTATACTTTTTCAGAGATTATGGCAAGCTCAAATGATTTGAAGAGCCACCAATGCCTGTTTGATTCGTCACTTTTCAACAGAAACCATTTTTCGCCTAGATGTAGCTCATCATTAATTTATGTACTACTAAGCGCTTTTATAGAATTTACCACGGCATGTTGCTAACGAAGTTAATTCTTCTAACGTTTTTCTATCCCTCTCTCACCTCATTTTAGTTCCTAGCATTTTTAATCAAAAGCGGAGCACCATTACTGAGACCATTCGAACTAATACATTTCAAACATGTGCACATTATGCAATTTTTCCGTTGCGTATGTCGTTGTTGAAACTGCAGAGATGCGTTGCGACATTGAAAACTTCTTGGACGTCGTTTCTTAAAACCGTCGTTGATCCTTCTTCTCTGTTGGAAGACTATTTTGTGAAAATTTCGAGTCATGACGTTGGATTGGTCGCGGAGATTTTGAAACACTTCAACCAAGACACGTGTTTATGCAGTTCCAGCGCTGATATGCGGCAACCAGTATTCTGCTCAAAATGTCTCCCCTACTGTTGCACTATCAACTCTCTGACAGAAAAATACAGAATGTATGATTTGAAATGTAAGGAGGAAGCTTTTTTCCCACAAAATCAAATTTACTATTGCTTAAGTGGCTCAAGGATTTCAGTCCACATCAGTTATATATTTTTGTTATCTTAGCTAATTTTGCTTTTGAAAATCAATCCTGTTTAAGAATTTACCATGTTGATGAGTTCAAATCAGTCATGTACTAGTCAGCTAAGAGTTTGCTGTTAGTGAAGAAACTGAAATTGTAAAATGGACTGTGTTTTTTTTTCTCTCAGTAACGTTTTCATCCGTAATGAAAGGTGGCTTTGCTTTTGTCAGAGGTTCCAAGATACCCTCAATTTCAGTTTGTATTTAAATCAAAATCAAAATTTTACACTGGTGCTTCAATTAATTGGCACTATTTGCATCAATAATTTATGTCTCGTAAATCAAAATCCGCAAATACATCTGCTCTTCTCTATAAAAATACGTACCCAATTCAGTTCTAAACTATGAAAGTATTACATACAGAAGTTGATCATCCTTGCTCGCTTTAAATTTTCTGCCTGCCATTTAAAGACTTGCCTCAGGTATCCAATTTCTTTTCAGCTTCAGAAAATAAGTACTCTCCATCAATTTTCTGCATCGAAAAATTTGTATTACTTAAATGCCTTCAGTTTTGAAATGCACCGACAAGCCATTATGACATAGTTACCCACTCGCCTGTCACAGGAGTTCATGACGTAAAATTTTATTACACCCAGCGAGATCAATTTACTTCGGATCATCTGTGGTTGTGTCCCCGAAATAATCTTGCTTTGTTTAGATATTCAACTGTGCCTGACTCGACTGAGCATTTAAAACTTTTTCGGCTGTTAATATTACCCGTAGAGTATTGTTAATCTTAGCTGTGCATTTTTCCCCCTTCAGGATAATGCACGTACCTAATTTTAATCCGAATCCAGTTTCATCAGTGTTGCTCTCTGTTCCTTTGAATCTTTGACCCTGCTTAAGCTGCCTTTTTTTGTGCTTGAAACGCTCTCCTCTCAATTGCACTTTTTTGTGTTTTCTCATTTTTTATAATTGTATTATTTCTCTTTCTCATTAGCTTTTTACTCATCTGCAATGTTTTCAAGTATGATTCCTGCTAAGTTTTGACAAAGAAAGAGCTTGGGTCTTAATTGGAGAACCTGGGAATTTCAAGACCTGTGGCTAAAACCTAACTTTTACAATGAGATACGCCTCTATGAAAAGTTTTAGCTTAAGTTTGGAGCTGGTTTTGGTGCTGTAGCATTGCAAAGTTTACAATTTCAATCATTGGCTGTGTCCATGCTGAGAATGTATTCTATATTTGGCCAAAACTGGCTTTGAACTCAAAACTGTAAATTTTAACGAAGGCCTTTCCTATTAGGGTCCACGCCAAATAAGTTTACACACTTTATGACTACAGCAGAAGATTGTGTGATGTCTGTCTAAAAATGTGCAGCCTTATTTTGCATGGACTTATGTCAATGAAATCTCCCAGTCTCTGATAAATGGAGCCTCTTTTACTTAAAGAATTTCATAGGACTCAAAGCAATTCATTATTCTGGGGCTGAATTTTTTTCTGATCATTTTATGAATAAGATTGGCTGTAAGCCAACTACCAGCAATTTGTTTGCGTCTTTAGTTTTCGAAACAATTGAGCTAATGAACAAAAAGGAGAAGTCTCTACCCAAGCTTATTTTTGCTTTTTATCTAATTTTTTTCTCTACATTTTATCAGCTTTCTTGTTGATTTTGTTTGAGGCACAATCTTGATGGTATTAAAATACATATGCAAGGAACAAATAACCATGTTTGTCAGGACCAACATGTCTTATTTAGCGTTCTCATTTTGTTTTTCTCCCCATGTGAAAAAATCAGATTTTTTTTCTCTGTGACTCTGATGTGTGTGTCTTGAAAAAAATCAAATGTTTTTGAGTGGAGATCAAGTTGTACTTTTTTATTTGTGCGTCAGTGAAGTAGCTAAATTTGAAAGGTCAAGAATTTTCATGCTGTCATGTTATTTTAATGATGCTTAAAGTCTGCAAATGTAACTCGTTAAAAATGCAGATAAATAGAGGTTCACCATTAAGATACTCATTCCGATGAGAGTTGGAGGACATGCGAGTGCGTAAGTTTTTGATAATGCAGCACTATTCAGGGTAAGAAATGGATCATTCCAAAACGTGTTTTTTCGTCAAAATTCTCTATAGAATATAGTAATCTTGTTGTGAAGCAAGAAAATCGGAGTTTTCCATGTTCCTAAATTCAATCTTTTCACTTATCCCAAGAACGAAGTCTATTCAAGTCAAATCAGACATTGCTTAAATTAATATTCTTCAGTGTGCTTCATAATAGTAAAAAATTCTCTGTGGGCTTCATTTCTCTGAGTATTCAACAAATTTTGTTCATCAGAGGAGAGGGGCAGTATGTAAAACAAAACTCAAATAATTTGCTCAGTCTGTTGGATTTTTCAGAAGCCGATTTAACCAACGCTGATTTTGATTTTTCTCTTTATTGGTTATTTTGAATTGATTGGTTTTAGTTTAAACTGTAAATGCTAAGCTCTCATTTACAAGGAACGTGTTTTGCATAAAATTTCGATGAAGAAACACGGTTGAGGTAGATTAACGCTTAACCGATCTAGAGATGCTTTGTGTGGATTTTGCTGAAATTGAAATATACCCACATGAAAGTTGGTGAAGCACATGCGCATCCTAAGCGATGCGTTGGTAGTGAGCATGTTTTTTTTTGTTAGCATGAAGTGTTGCTCAAGTGTTCGGCTGTTGACTATTGTGTCTGTTCTTTGTTATTGTTTTCAGATTCGAGTAGTTAATGCTTTCCGCCAGGGGCTAGATGCACGATACGGTGAATCGCTCGCTGAAGTTCTTCGAAAGCAGAGCTCTCTTAGTAAGCGGTTATCGCAGACTTCTTCCATTGAGTATGCTGATACAGGCGCAGATGAATTGATGGTCCCTGAAGTGGACGTGGAACGCCTTTCGTCTCACAGTCATACGGAGACTGCCGTTTAGTAGACTCCCTCATCCTCATCTTTGGACTTAACCTAGATGTTGCGATTATGCATTAGTTCTGGGCTGTTGACCTCATCTGCAATTATGTAGCGTCTCCTAATTTAAATCTTTTTTAAGCAAACTTTCAGTCATGTTTATCTGTATCAGAGAAACATCTTACGACCAATCGCTACGTGAAACGAAGCTTACCGATTCAGTTCACACTCCCATGTTTCGTTTGGTTTTCTTTTCAATTTCATTTCCTTCTTCTCCAAGTTTTCGTATTTTTAGTTTTTTCTATTTCACTTTTTGATTTTCATTTATTTTTTAAAAATTATTTTTAGTATGTAAAAAACAAGTACCATCAAGACGTGAATCAACCATCTGTTTTGCCTCTATTGTCTAAATTGGAAGAAGTAGACTCAAATTTATTGCTGTTATTCTCGAGATTTTAGCAGTTTGATTTGATTGTATAGTTACCAATCATACATGTACTTAAATTGTTATTAAATGTATTTACTCAGCATTATGTGCCTTACGTCCTCGCTTTTAATTTATCGGAGCTATTCTAATGTTTTTTGATCAAAGCTTGCCCTAATCCTAGCATGTCAATCTGCACCTCTGACACCATGCCACCATGGTTATATCACATCAATATATCGTCAATCTCATTCATTTCTGTCTTTTTTCCTTTGCCGTGTGTCCACCGGTTTCATTCTATGGTCACTCTTTGGCCATTCACTTAAAAAAAAAGAAGCAAAACTCTCATCTGAGCTCAGATCCACTTCAAACGTCCTTCTCTCGGCTTGCAGAAATCTAGATTTCTAACTTGTACAGTTGTTTTTATAGTCATCAACAGTTTCAACTCTTCTTTTATTCGATAGACGTATCCAATATTTTTAGTCCTAGCACTTGTCGATGACTTATTTTATAAGATTTTAAATAGTTCCTCTTTTAGATTGCTCCTGAGACTCCGTTAAAAAGTAATTCCAAAGACAGATTCATTCATTGAGCAAAACTGTTGGACACTCGACAAATTTAATCATTTTATTTATAGTTTTTTTTCTCTTGTCACTAGTCTCTCCTCTCTCTCCAAATAAAATAAAAGGAAAAAAACCTGTGAAAATTGAATTATTTCGAACAACGGTGAGGTTGTATGCCTGCCTATTTTCATTGTATTTTATCTTCATACCACCTGTGTACAAATTAACCCACACAGCATTTATGCAATTTATTTATTTCATTTTTTTATCATTTTTTTTTCTTTCTTTCTTTCCCGTCTTTACTGTTCTCTCGTCAACCAAGATTTTTTTTCATCGTTTAATTATTTGTGGGCAGGTGGATGATATTTTGGTTGATAATGCTTGTTTTAAAACTTATTATTTCCTACTTATCAGTCTGTTTGATCCTGACATAAGGATTTGCTTTGACTTAATTTTTTCATCTCATTTCCAGTATTATAATTGACTCGTCACCGTATAATTTTCTCCTGGTTGACGTATGAAAATTAGAAAGTTAATGAAAAGTAAGGAAAAGGGGGAAAAGGAAAAATTTTGACTTTTTAACGGAGCTTGGATCTGCATTTTGTTTGTGGTAACTGTCCCACTGGGGTTTGTTGCGGCTAACGACTGAGCATGTAAATGGATATTGTGCACCATGCATGATTGTTCGTGACGCTCATACTTGTTTTATCGATGTTACATTCTCAGTGTGCGGGTTCGGCTTAGTTTCATGCAAATCAGCCTACAGTATTTTTATCTAATACAAATAATAATTTATCACACAATGGCAAGTCAAAAATGGATTCAAACAATGTTGATGCTCCAATGATGAGTGAAGCAGAGTATTTGTGATATTGTCCTCTCTGCTCCCGCCTTCGCTGCCACCAGACTAAATTTATTAACCACTGCCACGCTGTGTGGGTCATGTCTTTTCGTCATGGCTCATCAATTTCTCGATTTTCTCAAGATTTCAAATCATCCCCACTACCCAAGTAGCAATTTGCTCGCAGAACATTGCAGTTTTGCTCAACACTTAAATCCTTAATCCTAAAAATACTTGCGCCTTCTTTATCGGTAGATATATGCCAAGGCTAGTCTCAATATCTTCTATGGGACAACATGCGGAAATATAGCAGTTTGAAACAGAATATTCTAGGGCCCTGTAATTGGAAAATTGCAATTAAATTTCGATTTTATGTTGAAAAATTGCTGAAGTCTAATCATATTATTTCAACTTAGAGTAATTTGCTCTACTTGGGATGAGTGCCAATCAGAGATAAGACACTCTCAGGTGTAATAGATATCAATCAATAGATCTATATGCTTCATGGGAATGTGTCTGCGTATTTTTCACCTGCGCAAACATATCTATCTCATTGTTCACATAAATCCTTTGATTCAAAGATAGCACCATGTACTAGACAGGATAAATGAATGCTTTGAACTTAACTGTCCATTAGTGGCTCGATCGTATTTCCGAAGCCATGATTCACATGACCCATTGAAGTCTAATTGTTTGTCTGGTAGGCTAGTCATGAATGAAGAAAAAAAAGTGAACATTTTATTTTAATGTACCTACTTTTTTTAAGTTTATATTATATTGTAAATAGATTTATAACAAAGCACTTAGTGTGCTTGCAATAACAGTTTAAAAGACATGCTGATTTTGTCGTTAAATTATTTCTGACGTAAACATTATCAAACTTAATCAATTCTTACTTATTTGTATTCATTGTGAATGAATTTATAATGTTGACTCAAAACAACTGGAAGGAGCCGAAAAATATTTTGACTTTTATGAACACTGATCAATGAAGAATTATTGAATTTAAATAGATATTCAGAGGCAATGTAACTTTGATGATAAAAGCTATCGTATAAATTTAACTTAAGTAAATTCATAGATATTAGTTTTATTGAGACTACTTAACAAATTATATACCTATGTGTTCACATATATATTATATATGTATGTGTACATATGTATATAACTGTAATGTACATATGTATTATGCATGTATTACATTTGTACTAACCATACATCTGTGTACTTGCATGTAAGTTGTATTTTATGCTTGTGCAAACAGTTTTGAAAATATTCAAGAAAACAAATTAAAACAAGAAACCTAGGGATAAGCTGTAACTTGTATAAATGGATTATTGTTTCAAACAAACTTTCATCAACTTGTTAGTTATTTTCTTTGAATGATTTCCTTTATTTATTTATTTTTATTCATTTTAAGCTGTTTTAGGTTGTTTTCATCAAATCACCTCTCTCACTTTTTGTTTTACACCCGCTGTGAAACTTCATGTTTACTTTAATGTTGATTAAATATACTATTTTTATTTTGATAGATATACTTTTTTTATTCAAAAACAGAAACTCACTTTTAATGGATTACACTTTAAAAGCGATGCAATTCACTCCAAGAACGTAAAGTGCCAAAAATAGAGTTTCTTCTAAAACTTTCGCAGTCACACCTCATAGGAGAGACAAGCGTTCTCTCAGACTTCAAGCTGCAACGCTTTATTAGCAACTTCCCTTCACTTTTCCTTTTTTTTCCTACTCTCGGTTTCCTGACAACTCTCCCAATTCTCTCCCAGTCGTTGCTGGAGCTATCGAAAAACAAAACGGAACCTTCCTCTCTACCCACTTGTAAGTCAGCAGATTACAATATCTCTCGAACGTTTCTGTCTTATTCAGCGAACCTATTTCCACACATTGAGCTCTTTACAAGTGTGTATTTATCAGGTGCATTTATTGCTCTTTTTTAGGCAGGAACCTTTTTTTCTGCCGGTATTTTCCTCCCCTCACTTTTTCATCTTAGCAAACTTTCTTTTTGTAAATTAATAATTTTCACAACGTTTTCCCCTCGGTAAAAAGATTTTTACAATTTCAAGTAATTAAGCCTATGTATACATGCATTATATATGTATAATACTTAACATATTATTTGCAGATATGTAAGTACATACATGACTTGAAATGTATGTATCTACGTACCTATGTGAGCGATTTAGAATTGTGTAAATTTAAATTTTTAAAAAAAGAAACTAATGAAATAAATTGTTAAAAAATCAATGACACTTTGTAATGAGTTTTATTTTGAGTTGAGCATATTAGATTATTGTTGTTTGTTATGCATTTGTAATGTTGACATTTGTACTTATTGTGGAAATTAAGTTCGGAAGCACTTGCTCTTTTGTTCCAATACGGTTAGTTTTAAATATTGTTAATCAATGAAAGTAGATTAATATTATAGAGTCATGTCTATTGTTTTAATATTTGATTTTTCCCTCATGTTTGTTAATTCAAAATCAAGCTATTACTTATAACGTTTTTAGCGGAACCTTTTCTCTCTCTTTTTTTCGTATTTCCTGTTAATAAGTGAAATGTTTCATTTCATCTTTCAGTTCATATTTTAAATACCAAATCAGTACTTTTAATTTATTCATTTTGTAAATTTACTTTTAATGTCTTCACCCCTTTACATTACTTCATTTATTTAATAACATTATTTATTTATTTATTTATCTTTTTTTTATTATTATCTATTCACAAGGAGTAATTAATAGAGTGGTATGCAAGAATCAGTCTGTACATGAATGCTCGTGTCGTAACACGATGTATTTATTCACGTGTGTGTGCTAGCATCAGATATTCATACATGGACATACATGTATTCATCTGCATATATGTGTGTATGTTTTAAAATGTATGTACATTTGTATATGTGCATTCGCCCACACACACGCACTCACACATACCTTTGAAGCTGAATAGTTTTTAATATTAAATTTAGATCGCCTTTTTGGCTTTTTTTCTTTTTTTCCACAAATTTATGAATAAAAGTTATTATTTTTATTTATTAAATCGCTTTGTCTTTTTCTTCAAGTCCTTTCTTGGAATCAATGTTTTGTCCAATCCTTCTAATACATATATTTGTATTAGTTGTACAAGGGAAATTACAAAGCGTTCAACTAGTGAATTTAAATGTTTCACAAGAGCTCTCAGCAAGAAAGGGGATTTACAGGACCCAATGCGAAAGAGATAATGAAAAGACCTATTCATAGTCTTTTCTTTCTGGTAAATTCATGAAAAATACCAAGACACCGAGTCTACTGAAAATGATATGATAAAAAGATCTACTCATGGGCCCTTTTTTCCTGGTGATCTAATCATAAAAAACTATTTGGCCTGCATGAATTTTTATTAGATTTGCCGCGCTTCGAAAGCGCAGTAAAAGTAAAGCAGCCAGCCAATCAGAGGGTTGAATTTTTTGAGAGTGAAGTTGTTTCTTATCACAATTGAACTATCGAAGATATCAATCTGTAGAATACAGTGATCAATCTTGATCCATACAGAATTTTACTTAAATGAAGGATCTTATGTCGTTTCAACACTAGGATAAGGTCAAAAAATGAACAAAATATATTTGATTCTCATTCAAAAAAATAATATAATTATTTAATACAGAGTTATGGTACATTAGGATCAGAAAAAATAAAATTGTTTAAAACGATGGATATATACCTGCTATAATTAGTAAATGGACTATCTTTCAACTTCAAACAGCTAATATGAAAGAATAACACAAGTAGTTGACAAGCAATACATATTACTGTTTGACTGTAGGCCTAATTAATGATACGAACAATGTACAGAGAACTAGGATGCATTTTATACAAGTAACTGTGAGTATTAGTCAGGGGGTAAGATAACAGCTGAGGTCAAGAAATGAAGTACTGGAGATCAATTTCATCCGGTGCAGATTCAAGAACACCACAGAAGACGTTCTCTGAGAAAGTTACTTATCTAGTGCACTGAATGCTCAGTCATGTAAGGGGTTCAGAGCCAAAAGGACTTAGAATTATTGTTTAATTTGTTAAAAAAAGAGCATTTTTTACATGGAGTATTGTAGTATTTTGTGTGATCACACAGAGAATTTCAATAGAAAATTTACAACCATTCAAGGGTAAATGGGTTAAACGTCAAGGGAATAAACTAAACAATGTTGCAATGCTAATAATCCCTTTTGGCTCTCTTCCCTTCATATGACCTGCTGGATGCTGTTGAAGTAATATCGGGTAGCTTTAATATATTTTTCTTTTTCAGAGTTTAATGGAAGCCTGCACCCCACTACACTGCTCTGCTGTGCTGAGAAAGAATACCATATGAACATTCAAATTTTGCCACATGTCATTGGATAGAGCATTTCCTTTTTGAGAGAATAAAACACTTTCCCTTAAAATTTTCACTTACAATGCATCAAAAAGCAAGAGCTTTGAGCTTGAGCTTTGCAGAAAACTTACTTTTTATCAAAAGAAATTTAGCGATGCATAGGATTCTCCCTCCGCACAGCAGAACTACTTATCATCGGTCCTCTGATGTAAAGGCATATCTCTATTTCCATGCGAGCCTTAGAAAGCATAGTGTTACATAGACAACAGAGCTTTGGAGATATGCCCTTACGTTAGAGGAATAACATGATGAGGAGGGAGATGTAGTCTCAAATGATTTTGTATTGATGTTCCTCGGCTCAGGAAAAAATTGACCAATCGTACTTCAAACAGGGTAAGATTGCTATGAAAAATTAAGTAGAGTCATGATTCTGGTCTCATTCAAAATTGCTGAGTACTCTAATGCCATTTCATAATGCTTCAAATTTCTTCTTAACAACTGAAGAATAATTTTTGGGCTGAGAAAAGTAGGCTATGGGAGAGGATGAAGTTATCTCTATGCATGAACAGCAACATGAGGATCACCTCTAGTAGGCTAGGGTAACTCTAAGAGAAACGGAAACTCCATTTGATATCAGTAGAATTTCATCAATCGAACTCACATCAAAACCTAGAGCTGGATGAGAAACTTTGCTTTCAAAAGATAGCTGTTGGAATTCAGGATGGTTCTATCTGACACTGATGTCATTTGTTCTTTAGGGTAGATTTCCGGAGTCACGACTTAACTACTAGGATTGACGATTGCCTCTTTTCGTTTACACTATATTTTCATTTGCAATATTAACCTCTGACAACAAAATTAGGGAGCAATTTTTCTCCGAGTTTTGTTTTCTCTTCTTGTCTTCCTCTAAGAAACTGCGAATTTCTACTTATTCAGCTCTTTGACTGATTTACAACCTGTGACACAAACCCGCAACATAAAACGAGTCCAGTCAACAAAGCCAACTTTGAGTATTTGCAGGCCAAAAACGTTTAAGGCACGCCATGGTCTCAAGAGAGAGGAATAAATAAACCTTACCGAATCATCATCATTCAGCAATACACTTAAACCACAGTCTAGTGATGAATTTTAGGAGTTCCTAGGAAAAATGTTAGAATTAAAAGAAAATTCCTTACTTGCACCTTGCTCCTTGAGCATTTTTTCTGGACATCGCAGAGAGAAAACTGACAATAAAAATCGTAACGACAGAATTTAAAACAACAATTACGAAATTTTATCACCATCATTAATACGTTTTTATAATTCATATCCAACATTTATAACAGCAATTTATTATTTCCTTGGCGAATTTTCTACAAATATTTAAAATTCCCTCGCTCTTCAGCACTTTATAAGGGAATTTTTCACATTTTACAAGTTCCAGACAGTCCTGCACTTTGATAGAATCAATTCCTGCTAAAATGCTGGAGCATTTTGAATTCCTTCGAGTACTGCTGGTTTAATACTAACAAAAATTGGAGAGGCTCCCCTCTTTATGGCAACAAGGACTTATCAGCTTTTACCACCCTGCTGCACACAACAACAATTCTCCGAAAAAACACTCATGCCAAATTAATTGATTATTAATTTTTATTTCATCATTCATTGATTTAATTTTCACAATTACGACCTCGTTAAAGACGGCAACATTTCTACAAGTTAAGTGATTCAGTCTTTTGAAATTAAATCCAGTGACCACCCAAAGGCATTCAGACTAAATTAAAACGTTTTTAAGGCAGATAACAGTTTTTACGTCAATAACAGAGCAAAAAATTAGCTAGGAATTATTATCAGGAGCCACATTATTGCCACAGAGCACTGATGCATAGTATTTCTGATCTGCTTTTCAAAATGGACCAGCAGAAAGAGAAAAAAAAAATCAACTAAAATGGGTGACTAACTATTAGCCTAGCTCAGAACAACAGGATAATGCTCAGACTAAACAAATGTGCCCATTTTTTATCAGAAACTAAATGCTCACACCTTAATAATGAACCACTATAATTTGTTAGTGATTAGAGAGAATCGTGGTTCAAAATTCATCTGATTATATGGATTAAGTTTCTTGAGAATTCTCGACTTTTAACAGAATTGACTACAAAGGTGACTGATCATAAAAATAAAAAGGAGAAAACTTTCTGCATGGAACCAATCAAACCAATTTTCTTCTCGGGAACCCAAGTACCGAAATCCAAGTCTTGAGAAAAAACGGAAAAAAGTGTGCCGTTTGGCGTACAAACAACCTTTAAAGAACAGTTGCAGAAGAAATTCTTCAGATACAAACATTTTTGAAGCTCAAAAGATTATCGCACGTCAATTGGTACGGTTTTTCTTTTCCAAAACTTTAATTTCGAGGCTTGGGCCCTAAAATAAGTATCGGTTCAATTGCAAAGTGGATGTAGAACAAGACTGTTAAATCATGAAATTTAAACTTTTAACTACATCCTGAAGTTCTTGTTTCTTGTGAATATTGCCCTTCTCATTTAAGATAAAAAGATGATTGAAAACAATTCTTTAATTATTATAATTTTTTTTCTGTCTTGAGATAACTAGAAACATTGAATTTAGTGAAATTAATTAGAAAACTATCACATTCACGTTTTGATTTTGATTGGAATGTTTACAACGGTTTGAAAAACAGTTCCAATTATACGTTGATCATCAAATGCTAGAGAAAAATCTTAAAAAAATTTGATTAAAATCACAATTTAAGATAATTTTTCATGATATTATTTTTACAATACATGAGTAGCCAAAGAGTGTCCTACTTTTAAAAAAATAGTATTTATTTCATTATTGTTCTTAAAAGATAAAGTACTTAAATAATGGAATAAATCTTATTTTTAAAAAAAATAGTTCAAATTGCAGCCACTCATGTATTAAAAATAATTGCGACATAAATTATCCTTGCTATATGCTTGCTATTTTTGATAACTAAGTTTCATTCAATTTAAAACACCGAACTTTCTTGATCATAAAAATGAGAGCAGCATAATTGAAGAATACTTTCAGCAAATAAAATTCCAAATTAAAAAGGTCTAAGTGACTAAAATAATATTACAAGTACGGTATAAAAAGTGGAAAAAAAAGAAAAAAATTTGGACACCAGCTAGTCTCATGTGCATCGACAATGACAACAATCAACAAGTTTTTGAGAAACTAAGTGTTTCCGAAGAAAGCTCTTTGCTCAACACGCAACAACTCAGGTTACGATGATTTTACCAATCAGGTGTGCACTTAATGATTCAAGATGATGCAGGTAAAAGAGATTTCTGTTGAGAATACGGCTACACATAATAAATAAATGGCAAGAAGCACATGATTGAAACTAGACATTTTTTTTTTTCTCATAAAACTGAAAGTGTTTAAAAAAGGGGGAAATACTTATCATGTACATAATATCAAACAAATATAAAAGACGAGGAATGTAATGACTGTTAATTATAAAATCGGTGCGGAGTGTTGCTACTCATGTTCTTACTAATTTTTTCCTCTTCAATAAGTTGTTGCCGGAAAGCGACTATTTTACTGTAGAATTCATCCAGAAAATTACGTTTTTCCACCACCAAGTCTTGGAGCTCTTTCGAGAACGCTGTTAACAAATTAATAGTAAAATAGACATTGATTAATTTTATCAAGAATGTTAATGTTCGTTTACAATGAAAACAAAGCAAAAGTCAACAGTGACAAAAAAGTCACAAAAAATAAACGAAGACAACTTCAAGCCAAAGATTTTAAACCAAATCAGGAAACGAAAGTGATGCTAGGCACCTGGTCACAGATCATTGCCTGAAAAACAATACCACTTGGATGAAATTCTGAAGATCTCACAGTGAAGGGGAACAAGCTATTTTTCTCATTCTGAATGAGGAGCCGCTAGACAAGAATTTTTTCAATTGATACTGCAGTTGTGCTCGCTGGAATTCCGGGTAAAAAAAAGCCTTTACAATGATTGTTTCATATGGGAGTGATTCTTACTATTCTTCCTCAATTTAAATTCATCACACAATCGAATCTGTGTGGGACAACATGTCTCAATAAATATCCCCTGTTTCATATATCGATGGTGAAACTGCAAAAATGCGTATCTGGGTTCCGTCACTATGTATTAAAATCTCCGCCCTTTTTTTTTTTATAAGAAGACCGGATGAACACTATGGCTCGAAATTTTCACAGAATAATCTTCACACACAGAAGAAAAACTATCATCGTTTTCAAGAAAAAACCTTAAGTAGTTGTCTATAAAGAAAATAAAAAATGACAGAAGCACTGCAAACCGAGATACGCCGTTTCACACTTTGGCCATCGATATGTCGATGTGAAACGGCGTATCTCCATTTACGATTTTCCAGACTTCTTGTCATACTTCACTTCTTCCTTGGAAAACCAGTCAACGTAATTTCTTAAAAACTTCCTCGATTTTTCTTCTCTGTTGGCAGAGTATCCTGTAAAAATTCGAAGGCATGAAGAGACAGGAGCAGAAATTTTGAAACATCGCAATGGAGATGCGTCATTTCACACATTGATCATCGATATTTAAAAAAACAAAACCCAGTGTCGCCAAAGTGCGAGAATAGTCACTGGATGTGCACCACTGAACTCTTTGCCAACGTTAATACATATTTGCTGAAAAGGTCACTTAATAGGTCTAGTTTTTTAGGCAATGAGATAGGAGTTCAAAGATCAAAGAAAAAGGGCGCATGTAGGATTCCATGATGTGGAAAAGTTCACTAAGCAAACCCGATGTTAAAAAATAAAAAATGAAACTGATTGAATAATGATAGAGAATACCACCAATGACATGCATAGATATATAATATGCCAGTTACAAAATTGACCAGCAAAAGTTTAATACTCGTACTTGTATTGATATAGTTCTCTTTAATTTCGTTTTTCCTTCTAGAATTTTTTGATTTTTTCAGAGAAAAATTCAACGTAGAAAAGCTCAGATGAGAAGAAGAGGCAAATTCTTATGATTATGAACTTGAATTTAATTTTATCGGTAATAAACTGGCAGCTTAGTTCTCATGACAGGGAAATTTTCCCCATACATCATTTTTCTTAATTATCACTAAATTTTTGCCTTTAGACCTGCTCCCTCTGCCCCTGTGAGACATTTTTGACAAAAGACCCTGCATAAAAAGTTTCTGGCTGCACCAAGGCGCCACCAATGATGGTCATCAGTGGTAAAGGATTCTTCAAGAGTACAACTTGAGTACAACTTGAAAACACAAGCACACATGTCTTGACTTTTTCAACAGATACCTTGTCGTAAAGAAAGCATGCCTGATATCCATATATTTGTTTTTCATTCAACTCATCTAGTTCTGGTCAATGACCCCTAATGAATCCTGAGATACGAAACAGAGAGGTCACAGGAGAAAAAGTTGCATGCTTTTGCGGTTAGTCGAAATGGGACGAGAAAACTTGGTGTGCAGTTGTTGGCAAGAATTCTGGATCAACCGTTCGAGGTCCTCTGGTGCTTTATCATAGAATCAAAATCATACAACACTAAGCTTCTGAACAGCAACATGCGTGATTTAATAAGCATGGTCAAGTGATAATAACCAGATTACAGGTATACAAAAAATTAACTGCACTAGGGAGGAGATAAGATTGTACAGATAATGAATCTCACATACCAAACATGCTTCAATAAAAATTCCCTTTACATGGAAAGCTTGAAAAAACCTTCGTATAAAATGTATTTAAGTGAGGGCATATCAAGAATGTAAAATTGCTTATTTGAAGAATATGCAGATACCACAAAATTGCCTTAATTGAACATCAAATATGCTTTTTTGACTACAAAATATACAGCAGGGTGTCTGCAAACTCAGACGGAAAAATTCCCTGACTTTCCCCTGTTTTCCCCGACTGAAATAATCAAAATTCCCTGACTTTTCACATGAAAAATTATACACGAGTAGAACTGAAAACGAAAAATTAGTTTGTTTTGTTAGTTTTTTCCTGCTCCATATTTGTGAAACAGCAAATTCTAATTAAACCCCCCCAGAGCAAAATTAAAGTCAATGCAAACCTAACAGCATACATTCAGATAGAGTTAAGCGGAATAGTCACATCTACACTGCGGTATTTCAAAATCTCATCTCTTACTTCAATCTTTTGGGAGGAAACCAACCAAAATTTCCACTCGAAAATTGTAGTTTTTTTGGCCCGTATGAAGGTTACTTCCAAAAAACTTTAAGCGAAAATGGTTGGTTTCCTCCTAAAAAATTCAAATAAGAGATGAGATTTTGAAGCTCCGCAATCTAAATGCGATTCCTTTGCGTAACTCTATTTATTTATCGGAAAGATACAAACAAAAATGAAGCAGAGGAATCACAAGCAAAGTGCAAATAAGTCATTTCATTCTCTTATAAAAGTACTTACTTAGAGTAATCAACCAGAAAAAAAAACTGACCGAAATAGATTCTATAGCTATAACACCACTTGATAAATGAATATAAAAAAATTGGGAGAGATTTTTATTCACAGCGAAAAAACACAGATAGAGTGTTTTTACACAAATTTCAAAAATAATGCTTGTTTTACCTACGAAAAAGAGGTTCTATGCAAACGAACATAAGGTTTTGAAACGGAATTTCGTACTAAAAATGATTCCTCAGATGATTTTGGGAGACGTTCATTTTTGGTTTCTTACCAATGCACCCCGAATGGTTATTCGAAATATGGAGGAGAAAGAATTAGCATGTTGCATGAACTGTTGCATGAAGAACAGGGGCAGTCAGAAATGATTTGCACGTTTGAAAGTAAAGATTTAGTTTTCTAAATGGTCCTTGCTACACTGTGTGTGCTACACTGTGTGTGGAATGATTCAAGGTAGCTCTTTCCGCTTTTTTGTTTACCCTTCAATATTCCGCTAGTCCTACTTAAGGCAGGTAGAACATTCACAAAATTTTGATAATTCTCAAGGAAAAATGACTGACTATTGATGAAGATTGAACTTTAAAAAAAATCAGTCACTGGTCTGAGTAAACGTGCTGCCTTCAAAATCACGACCCCTGTTAGATGTAAAAGTGCTTAGCATAACAAGTTTTAAAAGAGAGAATCAATATATTATTTATGTGCGGCATTATCTAACATTCCACATTCAAAGCAATGGCGAAAGTGCGAAACCACGTGACTCCATTACGGTGTTTCAAAATTTCTGCTCCTACTTTATTTTTTCAACAAGAAAGAGGTCAACTTCATAACTTGAAATTTATACTGAATATTCTGCTGAAATATAAGGAAAATCAGAGAAGTTTTCAAGAGATTACTTTGACTAGTTTTCCAAATAAAAAATAAAATCTGACAGGAAGTCTGCAACAATGTAAAAAAAATGAGTGGTTTTGCATTTTGGCCATCAAAATAATTTTCTGGTAAAATTAAGAGAATTTAACATATAGCATGCCTAGGCAGGCACTGGTTGCGATTCAAGAGACTTATAAACGCTTAAAAATTCTTATAGATTTGGCAACATTTGAAAGCAACTAAGAATGATAAAAAAAAGAAGGCATGAGACCGAAAGATACACAAAAAACAGTTCTGCGGTTAACTTTATGCCTATCATTGGAGGGATATTAAATTTTCAAATATACACATGTGTCTAGGGCTGTATTACACTAAGACGTAACTCCGCATGCTACTGCTAACTATCAAGCTTGTAGACCTTAGCCATGCTGAGTGCCTAGTTTTGATGTGAGTTCAGTTAATACATAACAGTTTAAATTTTATGGATTTATCATGATTAGAACATTCAGTCACATTAGTAAATGGTGACGTCCATTTTGTTGCCCAAGATACAATACCACCAGAAACCTAAGCAATTCAGATCGCTTCGCACTGTTATTTTTGAAAGAGATCACTGCGTGTCAGACACCCTCTCTCCTCATTGTATTGTACCCGTCACAAGGAACTGCCCTTTTCATTCATTCTCTTGGAGCACAAATTTTATGAACAGTCCCTTCGGCAGTATTGTTTCTCAGGCAAGGATTCAGAAATTGTGGCACAATGCACCCAAGTGAGAACCTAGATGTCCAGCCTGGTGATACTATCTATTCCTGGATTTTAAAAACAAGTTGTAGGTTCATGAAGCCTTAGACTTTCTCTGAGATTTAGGCGACATGTTGTGGGACAGTTTATCAAGAAGTTTTAACGCATTTTAAAGGTATTTCATTGACCTCATACATTGCAGCTTTTGTGAGCTATCTTCACAGGTGGTAAAATCCTTTACACATCATATTAAACTTTAACTATGAAACTATTACTATCACAGCAAAACTTTCCATTATAACAAGTTGTTGAGTGACTCATAACTAATAATACTACTACTACGACTAATTAGTGTCAATATGATGTGTAAAAGATTAAGCAACCACCAGAAATGGTTCTTAAAGGCTGAAACACATCAGGTTTGCTGTTTTAGCAATATCAGGCTCTAATCTTGATAGAGTCAAGCGATCATACTTTTCAGGGGGTTGATTGTTAGGAAAATTTTTAAAAGTGAAAAAAAAGGACAGATGAATGAACTGAGAAGTTAGATTCTGTGAGAGATTTATCGTATTAGAGACTATTAATGTTTGACCTGTCACTTAGTACAAAATGCATCTTTTAAGAGGAAGAAATAACAAAGCAGTTGACAACAAAACAAAGAAAACAGAGAATAAAATTTATCACCGTTCTTCAAAGGACAGAAAATCAAGACAGAGATACTTGAAAACTTGTAAAATTTAAAGAAGAACAAACAATTTAACGAGTAGAGACTTAAGGCATTTACATACAAATAAACATTGAACGAAAGAAAACAAACAGAAGAGACTTAAGAAGCATTTGAAAGAGATGACAGGGAATTCATTGAGAGTGACATCCAATGAGAGATGCTCATAGTGGACCAAAACTAAACATGTGAGAACAACAAGCAAAAATTCAAAACATCCAAAGTGCCACCAGGTGCTGCTAAAATTGTGCGAACTTAGTTTTACGCAAGGGTGCAGAATCTTTCCAGCTTCTACATTTTCCTCATTGGCGTTCCACTATTCCGATCAGTTTCAAGAGTAACTTTTTTCTCTTTTTCCTTTGACTTTTTAATTTTGCCTCTTAAAAGCTTTTCCTTCTTCTGTATTTGATAAGGCCTTTCCACATTTTTGCACCAAGTGCATATCAAGTATCTTCTGCACTCCTGGTTTTACAATCAGTCAAAAAGAGGAGCAAATAAAAAAACTTGAATTTCCTTCATAAGCTTTGCAATACGTCATTTTTAGTAAATTTTAATTTCAAGAATAAGACAAAAAATTTTTTGGTTGGGCAACTCCATTAGTATAAAGGACAGAAATATAGAATCTCAGCGATGAATACCCGATTGCGTTTAGAATGTTCTGAATTTTCACTCATCTGACGATTGGACAGCATTACACAGAGAGGAACCGCTATTCTTAGCTCGTACATACTAACACTTATCTGCAGCTGAAAAAGTTGGTTCCTAATTGTGTAATATCGCTCAATTTCTGCTGCAAAACCAGCTTCACAAAGTTTACAGATTTACAAAATACCAATCTTTTAACTTGGTCAAATAGAATTCAAGCTAATAACGATACAAAGCACAATTTGGTACTGATTTGACATGCTAAGTATTGAAAATATCAGGCAAAATAGGTAACTGAAATAGAGTTCCTTACAGAAGTGCAAAAAGCCCCTCGAAAAACTTAGGAACTTACTTGATTACAATCTTCTGCCTCCAGTTAACCACTTATCTAACCTAATATTTAATTCTACGCATTTCTTTTATTCTAATAAGTGGTAGTTTTTGATCAATTGATTGTCACTCTTTGCTATTATTTAATGATAATTCCATTGAATTCTTTCAATAAGAAATCTAGTGGTTGTGTGTAGTCACTATCATGTTTGTTCACTCACAGCTGTGAGAGTTCAAGGAAACCCTATTTTGCATAACAAATAAAAAAGTGGCGAATAAATGACCATACTCTCCCCCTACTTAAATGGGCAAAAGAAAATGCTCGAGCCATCAAAACCTTTTCAAATTTTTTGGTTTGACCTGTTTTTTACTAGATTAACAGGGAACACTTTGCAACGAAAGACTGAAACAATTTGATTTGAAAATGAAAAACATTGCAATAAGTTCAGCATTTCTTTGTTCTAAGTTGTCCATCCCTGTAAGGGTACTCTACCGTCGCCAAGTCTCTTGAGATGAACTAAGGCACTCAGAATAAAAAAAAAAAGTGAAAATAATTTTCTACTAATGATGAAAAGTGGACTAAATTTTGCATAAAGGAACTACAATATCCGGCTCATCCGAGAACACATATATCTAAAGGGAAACTAATGGTACATACATTGTTTTTAAGCTGAGCCGGAAATTGTAGTTTCTAATTGCAAAATCAAGTCCAAATATGGGATTGAATTCAGATCTTCCATGACCTCACATCAATAAAAAATCCCTGAAAATCAAGGGGTGTTAAAAGGTACAGAAAAAACCCTAAAAAAGTCAGAGCTTCCTCCAGCAGGGCTTGCGGAGCCCTGATAAGAAATGTTTTGACTGTTGAGACTAGATGTGCTAAAGAGCGGAAGTGCGTAAAAAAACAATAAAATGTAAACTATTGGCAGGAGAATAAAGCTTAAGAAAGTTTTAATTAAATGAAAAATATTTTTACCGTCTTGGTCGTAGTCGACGTCGCGCGTCATGGAGAAGAGCGCAATGTCCCGCTGTTGCCAATTCTTTGACTGTTCTAATAGAGCTTTGTGCATGTCCAGCATCTCGTCCTCTTGGAGTTGGAGCTGCGAAACTGCTTCATGGAAAGTGTACAGTTCGGCTGAGATCTCCCCTTCCTAAAAAAATAAAAAAAACCCAGTGAGCAGTGTTTTGAGAGCAAAATGAGAGTCAATACTGTGATACTCCCCGCTGCTGCGAGAGAGGAGAGGGAGAAGGCGCACATGCGCTGTGCCGAGCGGCGATCGAGAGGGGGCCGCTGGTTGCGCTCTCCGGCAACCAGCGCGCGACCGGACTGTGGCCAGGCAGTCCGGTAACGACCTCCTGACAGTAAGGACGAAATCATAGTTAGATTTTATTGATGCTCTCTTGTTCACTCGGTGAAGCTAAATTTCACATCCCTTTTTCGTCGTCCCCATCAATCCATATAGGCAGCCCTCGCTCAAATCCACGAAGCTACGAACGGCGCTGAAAAGTGCCGGTGCGGAGCTCTCGGTTTTTGAGCGAGAGTTTGACGGATCAATTCATCCACGATTGTCGTTAGACGTCGTAGGTGAATTGACCCGCCGCCACAATACTGCCTTGCTAAGGAAAATGCCGCACGAACATTCGAGAGTAGCCGAATTTCCTTCGATAAAATGTTTCTTTTTCAGGAGAGTTATGAAAATATTCACTTGAAATCTTACTCTACGATAAAAAATCATTGCAGAGCTCCCATGCAGAATTGGAACAAACTAAAAATATCAGCTTGCATATTTTAGACTGCAGCTAAGTTGCCAACTCATTTTTGCCAAAATTGTCAGTTGCATAGTGTTGCTCCTTAACTATTGGTATGTTGATACTGGTTTCTACAAAAAAACCAATGAGTCGGATGACAAAGATTATACAACAAGAAATGCTTCATACATTTAGTGATCGGAGGGCTGCAAGATCTCCATTTTCTATCATTGCGCTATTATCGTGATGATTCGAGACGTTGTTCCTCTGCGGGGACAAATCAAGAGTTGGTGATGAATTTTTGTCTGCTGCTGGATCAGTGGCCGCAAGTTCTTTCACGCGGTCAGCGTACCTTAGAGTGTTCAATGAGTGTTCACAAGAACTCATTCCAGGGCTGATCATTGCAATCTGAGGGAGAAGAAAGCGCACATTCATTTTAAATAAAGACATTTCTTGGTCTGTCTTTCATCAAAGGGAGAGAAAGAAAACAAAAGTGTATGCAAAATTGTTTTCTTAAATTGATGAGTATTCTTGTGATGGAGCAATCTGGCATCAATACATCATGATAAATCGGGATGTCTGTACATTTTCATATTATTAGACAGTACATCTCCAACTTTTCTCTTTTTCTTTTAAAAAATAAAATTTTCACACACAAGAAAGAAAATGTTAATCAAACTAGCTTTCCCAGTGTTTGGAACTTTTTATGAATGAAATTTACTCCATTACTTAGTACCAGGTACTCCTTTGTCAGGGTTGCCACAAAATTTAGAAAATGAAATTTCCTATTATTTCTCCAATTTCTCTTACATTTTGGTATAATTCCCTGACAATGGACCACTAGACAAGGTGCAAATTTCAGCATTTTGATACATGTTTCTTAACCAAAATTTCACATAGAAAACGATGCGCACAAGGAAAATTACCAAAATCACATCCTTACAAAGATATTCAATAATTCTTGATGCGTGAATTCAAACCACCCGCTCATGAAAACTCAATGCTCCACGTGATTCACATCGCGCGCTAAAAGTTTATCATGACAGTCGCTGAGATATAAAAATCTGGCAACCTCAATCTTGACGCTTTGGCTCAGCTGTAGCAAATTGCTTACAGTTTGAACAACGCATAGTGGGAAATGAACATTGCTCGATTGAGAAGATTGCTGAAACCGTTGTAGTGCGCGATTTGACTCACGTAGAGCTTTGAGTTTCTTGTGAGCGGGCAGTTCAAATTCCTCGTAACCAATGTGAGATAAAAATGTTAATATCTCCATTAGGAGTTGGCTTCAGTAATTTTCGTTGCACGAATCGGGTTCTACATGAAATTCTGGTTAAGAAACATGTATCAGAATACTAAAATTCTAGTCTAGTAGTCCATTGAGGATATGCCAGATGCTTAAAAAGACATGATTTGAGATGGTTTTCAGGCAAAATTTGTTGTTTGAAACGTCAAACCCATTCTAGAGAGGAAATAAAGGTGACTTGACAATTTTTTCCTGACATTTTTGTCATTTTCCCTGACTTTTTAAAATTCCCTGACAACTCCCAGTTTTCCTTGACTGTGGCAACCCTGCTTGTCATCAAATTAAGGTCTGAATTAAAAAGAGTCTTAAATCCTGAGGCTTCTGCTTATTGAGACAAAAAATGATTTCTTTCAGTAATGCAAAAAAAATACAACTCACAGACACATAATTAACGAGAATGAACGTACCATGCATGTTTTAGATTTCTCTCCAATGAAAGAGTCTTTAAGAACTTGCGTAAGCTTGCTAGCCCTGAAAGGGAGATGGGCTCCTTTCCTACCTAAAGCTCGTATACACTCTTTTAATGCTAATAAGGACTTGTTAATTTCGGCTCCTTCCATTCCTACAACAGAAACAATAAATATTAGAGATTTGTTCAGATACTGGTTTTCTATTCAACAGCTAGACATAGAGTAAAGACTCAATTGCTCTACTCTTTTGAGCATTAGGTCTTCAACTTTTTTGAACAGAAAACAATAAGCAGAAATATAATATTCAAACATAATTTCTTACTCTTAATAATACGGTGGGTCTATGGTGCTTTTGAAATCGACTCGACAATTAGAAAAAAAACACTAAGAAGCAAGACCAATCCACACAGGTCAGTCATTGCGCAGCTTTTTTGAAATCCACTCCCCCGCCCGGCCCTAACTCGCAGCACTCGATGCTACGTCACAATGGGTGCTCCCATAAAAAATACATTGCAGGCATTCAATACTACGTCACTGCGCAGTAGAGTACCAAAACTCGTCCTCGGGAATGACTGACCTGTGTGGATTGGTCTTGCTAAGAAGTGGCCCGAATACTGTACGTAACAAGGTGGAGAAATGGGGTGGACCCAGCACCATTTCTCCACCTCTACAATCAGTTCATAGTTCCTGGATTTCAAATTACTTATTAGGAGTGTCTTTGAAGTCCACTATTGGCTCATCTACAGGCTGACTATCGAATCATTCTCTAACATCCAATGGAACCACCTTAATGATGAAACAAGAAAACCTGCGTTTCAACTTGTGATTTTTCATTGGATTTGATTTTTCAAGAATAAATCGACAGCATTCAGCGATTGGGAACTTCCATTTCTGACTTGCTCACAAAACCCTCTACCTGCATAGAGAAACTAATGGCACATACATTGTCTGTGAAATGAGTCCAAAATAGTGGATCCTTATTGCAAAATACAGTCCGAATAATTAATGATCTTTCCAAGATTTTACAATATTTTCCATCGCCCTTTTGAGACTGCTCGCAGAAAAGAGTCTCTCAAAATTTTGCCCTTTATCAGCAGCGGAAAGAAATATGATTTTGAACACCTATAAAAATTAGGTGGTTCTAAGGAATTTTTCAACATAGGATCATGAAATTTGACTGGGCCTGACTTTGATGGATAATGGGCGATATGCTAAAAAGAACAATATTCAGATACTCTGCTATTTGAACTTGAACTCAAACCTGAAGTCCCTCCGGTAAAGAGATCAAAAGTTGATCATTGCATTTTGCAACCCAAGGTGTCGGATGAAAATAAATATTAAGGTTCTTAACAAAAAGTTGGAGTGAGAAATAACTTACTTGTTTGCCTGTTGGCTGAGGAAGTGTCCGCACCTCGCTCATTACCAGCTAAATCAATTAGTGAAAATTTGCCATGTATACGACTGACACCGGGGTTCCGGACGATAATTTGAAAAACAGCGTGTGATCTTGATGAATTACTATTAGCTGATGTTTGACCAGAGGTTCTGAAATCAATCATAGCATCAAAGATCAGAAACAATGACAAGGTAAGTTTCAGCATAAAAACAGAGACATTGACAGTATGCTGAGGACTGAACTGGGAAAATACATATCTCTATTTGTGACGACTGAGACATTTTGAATGAGATGGTAATGGATAAGTTGCAGGTGTCTAAAACTTTTGGAATTTCGTGTTTAGGTCGAAAATACTGGAAACATGAGGATATTCTCAATTCACAAATTGAACAATTATTGCAGGAGATGTGATAAAATGATCTAATCTGCTAAAATACATGTGTTTAAATGGGAAATTTATATCCCATTTTTAAATTTATATTTATACAATTTCCCATATCAGAAGAAAATTATAAAAAAACTGCAAAAATAGCTCTTCGAGCACTTCCGGATTGTGACGGTCTGCAGCAGTCATTCATATTCTCGCGGGGATATGCTTGGCCGTTGCATAACACTCCCCTCCCCTGGACCTTGGTTCTCGACCAGTGACCGCGGCTACCCGCCATCTTGAGCCTCAGTCTTCGCTTGCCTCTCCGCGTCACTGGCCGTCGATCAAGGTTCCCTTCCTACCCGTGTGTCTCGTTAGCCATTCTTACCTCGTGTCGAGTTTTCTTTCTTGTATTTCGAGCTGTACCTTTTCACTGTTTTTATTGCTCAATAAACCGTTGATTTTTCTTTCGTACTCGCTCGTCTCGTTCTTGTGTTACGTCTCCTCACCGACCGACCCTCTGAGGTGAGGCTTGCCTCGCGCACCTCATATTAGCCCAGTCAGCCGCCCTTTCCGTCTCAAGATGAAGCGATAAAAAATTTGCGAGTAGATTTTCCATTGCGCGGTCATGAAATCTTTCCACCTTTTATTTTCATTCCGCTTTAACTATACAATACAAATACACATACATATAAGTGACGCTTATGCAGCTAAGTATACGCTTTGCAGCACTCCCTCGCGCTCTACGACTCCGAACCTCCACTGCTCTCTTTCAAACCACAAATCTTGGGGCATTGAGCACTTTAACATTTCCGCTTCAATCCCCTCCCTCCAACCTTTCATTGGGCGCCCTCTGCGTCTTCTCCCAGGAGGAACCCAATCAAGGACCTTCTTTGGCAACCTGTCTCCTGCCATTCTCTGGACAGACTGGTCCAGACAATACAAATAAACTGGGAATAAGTCATTCACTAATTCAAATACTAAAGTTACAAAAATTGAACACAATGATCCAGTTTCCCTGCAAAATGAAAGAAAGATATCAAACTCCAAAACTCAGAAAATGAAAATAAGTATTTTCTTATTACCTAGCACTGTTTCCGTGCTGAATTAATTTGAGCACATCATCTACATTCTCTACAATTCTTTCAGTTAGACCGACGATTTGTACCTGCTGCTTCCCATCTTCTAAAACCCGTAATTTTGCCTTATCTGCTAACAAATCGAAAACCTGCAAACAAACAATATTATATTAAAACAATGCAGATGAACTACAGGATTTGATAATTTGGACACCACTGAAGAATTGAAAACTTCAAATTTTCAGCACTTTTTCTTTAAAATTCTTGACTGGATGTTGCACTACATTAAGATACTGAGAGATCTGTTAACCTAACTAAAAGGAGAACCTATTTGAAATACATGTCACGAATGTAACCACTTGGAAAGCAAAAAGGCCAAATTTTTCAGTAGAAGGGTAAATGTTAAATTAGGGGCTACTCAGGTATTATGTACACCATTTTCACCAATTTTTAACTCCCCTCCCCTGTAAGCAACGTGTTAGCCAACTTTTCACCCCTTTTTTAATGCCGCAAGTCATTAACCCCCCCCCCCCCATTTCACTCCATTTCCATTTCATTTCACTCCCCTCCTAATTTTTAAGAAAAAAAATTTAAAGAATTTTTTTTTAATTTTAAAGAAAAAAACAAAAACCCGCAGAAAATCTGAGAAATTGCTGCACAAATTAAATTTTTACATTGGAAAATACTACTTTTATTTCAGTGAGGGACTTACAAAGCCTGTGTTTATATTGGAAAACATTACTTTCATTTGAGAGGGAGACTTACAAAGCCTGTATTTATAATGGAAAATATTACTTTTATTTAGGTGGAAGACTTGACCTTTCCCTCGACTCATAAGCCAAGCTAATAGAAGATAATACAACTCGGATTAAGAAAAAAGAAAAAAAGGAAACACAAACCTTCCCACTGTAAATTTCAAAAAAACTAGCCGAAACAATCAAGTTCAAAGGCTTGTACTTGGGTGAGCGTAGCCATTTGAAAACGTCCTTCGCAGCCATGGCATAAATACCTTTTTTACAATCTTGCGTTTTACCTTGAAAATCACCTCCCATGGTATGGGTTTTCCCACTTCCAGTCTGACCATATGCAAAACAAGTGGCCATACCACCTTCGAAGATAGTTTCGACTAGCGGTTTTGCAGTAAATCTGGAAAGAGGAAAAAACCATTAATCCAGCCGTACAAAAAGCATTTAACGATTGATATTGAGGCATTCTATAACACTTAGATCTTCATTAAGACAACAGGATCCATGAATTTTTCAAGCAGCAATTAAAATGAATTGTTTCAAATTGTTTAAAACTTTGATTAGAAATGTTTGAAGCATTAATAGTATTACTGTCTCATTTTCCCCTTAAAATGTCAATTTTTAAAATCTATTTGACGGTCATCTTCTGGAGTAACAGGAACACTGGACATTAGGTGGTTAATACTGGCTTACTTTTTTCCTTTTTGCTGAGAATTACGAGATAGAAACATTTTGAATATGAAAACCAATTAGTAAAGCCTCTTTCTACAGAAAAAACATACCTGAATACATATGACACAGTAGCAAGAGTTTGCTAAGAATTTGATTTTTACCCCCTTTTTTTTTTGTTTCAATCTTTAAGAAAACACTAGACTTAAGTTAGTCATAAAAATTTGAAGACTTGCTCCCTATTCTTCACAGATTATTTACAGGGTGTCTACTAAAATAGACTGGCCCAAAAGTCAGTACTTTTACAGCACTTTTTCAGTACGTTCCCGAGAAATTCAGTATGTACTTCATCAACAGAAAAATTCAATACTTTTTCAGTACCTCCGATTGACGAAATTCGAAAAATTTTAAATGTTTGAATTTCTTGCTCAAATTGCGACAAAAATGACAAAAAAATGAAAAAAATTCTGAACCTTCTTGTGGAATTTCTGCACTTTTTCCGAATCGTCCTTGAAAATCAGTACTATTTCCGGACTTTCCAGACTTGGAGATACCCTGATTTAGCATTAAGAACTATTTGATGGAATGGTATTCATATCATTCTGTGAGGCTGATGTTACATACATCAAAAAGTTAACTACACAAAAGACTAGGTCAAAAAAAATCCACTAAAAAGTAGCATTAGAATTTAGAAGAAGGAAAAAGGACAGACACACTTACTTATAAACAAGATCATTATCACAAGAATCGTCAAATGCGTAATCAAAACGGAACAGTTGGTTTTCGAGATATTTTGTTAGATCAACTTTGTTCTTGGGCTCATGGACGACAATCTGATCTTTCGTAGGCACTGTTATCACATCCACTTCTTTCCTGGCAAGTTCTGGAAAAGAAAATTACATTTTTCATAAAACATCAAGCCAATTAGTACAGCAGAGATACATTGGTATGAAATCTCTACACAGAGAGAAAGAAGAGTACCTTACTTTCAAGTTTTGTTTGCTTCCTCATCTCCGTCAGTGTTGGTCTGTTGAATATAGGGTGTCTAGTTTTTTTTTGATTCTGGGAAATCCTGATTTCATCATTTTTCCAAATCCTGATTTTTTGCGGCGAAATATTAAAATTTCTACATAAGTGTATGCGAAAGGAGAACTCTAGAATTAATAGCTCGATAAAAAAAATCCAACCGGACGGCCAACTTTTCTCAAATCCTGATTTTACGACCGATTTTTCCTCAAATCCTGATGAAATCAGGATTAAATCTTGATAGAATCAGGAAAATCCTGATGCTAGACACCCTGATAATTTTAGTTCACAAGTCTTTGAGCTTCATACCTAATGAGCAATCATTTCATACTATGAAGTCCCTTTCTAGCCACTACAAAGCCCAACCTCTGATAAGTGGACTGAGCTCTCTCGAAGCTGTTTAACAGCGATAAAAACACCGAATCATTGTTAAAACGTTTGAAGACAGGAGGCTAATTTGAAGAAAACTATTGCCAATAGCCAAAACTTAATTGAGATCGGCCTGGTAACTTCACTTGGAATAACTTGGACAAAAAATGAAGAATAAATGGACATATTTTTATCAAACGGAACTAAGCGCCAATTTGAGTTCCTTTTGAGGAATTTAGAATCCCGGGGAACGCGTTCTGTCAAACGGACCTAAGCGCCATGGAAAAGCATTGCGAGTATAGGACGGCATAAGCCGGACACCCGATTCTGCCGCCAATCCAAGCCCCCTTCTACCTTCCTCACCCTATGGCGCTTAGGTCCGTTTGATAGAAATACGTCCAAATAAACATAAAATAGTACAAAATCTGGCTTGCTATGAATCCCTCTACTTTTCGTCCAGCACAGTTTGACTCCATACGCTCAAATTCTCTTTATCATGGATGGCTACAAATCAACAGCGAAACTCTCAAACAACGTACCTAGGTTGCAATGTTTAAAAATCTAGGCTCCTGTTTTACTTTCGGAAAGGAGAACAATAAAAATTATTCCTTGAAATTTTTTCAGAATTTACTTCATACCAAGACAAAAAATCTTTTAAAAATTGACGTTGAGTACTTTCCCATTGAAATCATTAAGTATGACAGGAAATCTGCAACGTTGCAAACCGAGATTCGTCGTTTGGGAGTTTCACTGTGGATATGGTATTTCAAGGTAGGTTCTTCTGTTCTCAGAATCTCTATGAACGTTTAAATCCATTAAATTTCTTGCTCACTGTTTCTTGAAAATGATAATTAACTGCTTACCTTTTTTATTCAATGGACGTTTCCTAACACATACTGAAATCTGATGATTTTCCACCGGCTCAGCATCACGCAATGGCCTAAAATTGATTTGCGACCGATAATCTCTGAAAAGAAGAAGGGGAATTTATCAAATTTTTCATAAGAATGACAAAAAGGACACTGTTGTTATATGTTGATTAAAATCATGAAAAGAAAAGAAAAAAAAAGAGTTCATAAATGTATAACTTAACATCAGGATTCTGAGCAAATAAAACGAATGGTTCCAGAACTATTTTTTACGGTGTTTCTCATACTCTGTAATTAACCATGATTATGTTTAAAGTCATTGATAAGGTACACTAAAAGTACCTTCCAGAGAGTGCCTTTATTCCTGAAAAATAGGGAAACTTTATTCTCCTAGAGCACTTAGAGGGTAAAGTAACGATTCCAGCGTTGTCAATAATTGAATCAGTGAGAATAAAAACACTCCAACTCTGTAACTCAAAAATGCTCGATTTTTATTAACGACAGGCAATTTTCATAAAGGCTATTGAAGTTGGCGCATCTGTCCCAACTTGGACCTTAAAAGTGTCCCTGACTACATGTCTATCAGCATCAAAAATTTTTTTCTTCAACTAACCAGGCTTCTTCACCTACTGTGTGCCGTTTTGTGTGTGGCTTGATTATTTTCTTTTTTCTGAGTAGATAAGTTTTCCTTCTCACTGACTCAATTGCTTCTGTGTGTATACTCATCACTTATTAAAACGTTTATTTACTTGGAGTGGTAAAAAAAGTGTCAGCTTCATTTGAAATTTTACTTCAATTGGACGTACTTCTGTCAAACAGAACTATGTGCATTATGATGTGAGCCCTGTTATGCATGCATTCTTATGTATCTCAGGGCTCATGTCTTAATGCACATAGTTCCGTTTAACAGAAATACGTTCAATTCATACCTTATCATGCCGAGGAACTCCCAGTTTTGTTGCCCTGGATCCATGTTGATTAAAGCTTCTTTCTCCTCTCGTAATTCCGCTTGTCGCTGCCGTCTTTCCTCACGGTTTTTCTTGAGTTTTTCAACCTCTTTGACCACATGACTCCTTCTATTCTTACCACCTGCACCTGCCAAAATGAATTTCAAAAGATTAGACACACTAGAAGTCAGATGAAATCAGTAGTTTCGAGCCAAAGAAATAACTACATTTGCATCGATTTTAAAAATCAGAAGAGAGAACTGCTCAGATACCCCATTGATCTCTACATGATTCGCTAGTTTTAAAGTCCGACGGGCCGATTATTGAAATTTATAGACAAAGCTGTAGACAAAAAATACATTAGGGATATGGAGGAATCCTATTAGTGGAAGCGGGTGGCCGCAATGGACAAAGGAGGTGAGTAATAGACTAACTAACGGCAAATCACGAGGAACCCTATAGTTGGTCCATCATTTTCTCCCTAAGTCTATAGGAACCACCCATTTCAACAGAAAGAAATGCTCCATGCTTCCTTAATCTTCTTTATCTAAAACTTGGTCTACTAATTTCAAAAATCAGCCCGCTGAAACTCATACTTGGTCTTGGATGCCATTACGGAATATTTGAATTGTGTAGAAGCCCTCGATTTGATTAAAAAAGGTGTAATAAACATGTATAAGTATTCAAGTAAAAAACAAAACAGATTGTGCTGGATCGAGTTTAACAGAAACAGACCAAGTTGCATCAAGTTTGAACCAAGAACAGGATTTTTCATGTTTTATTTCTATACAAGACTCAATGTTACGGACAAAGTTTATCCACTATTTTCATGTTCAATATATTTTTTCTCGACTTCGAATTATTTACAGGAAAAAATTTACAACTGGTTGAATTTAGAACGACTTCTAACTCAACGCTCGGAAGAAGAAAGCTCTGTCTTTTGATATGGTCATTGGCGAATTAACAACAAAAAAACTGTTTTTCGGTAATCAGGCGGTAAGAACGAATTGCGAACTACTGCTGCTAGTGGGTAACCTTTTTTCCAAAATGCAATTTGGTGTGTTTCTGTTCAAGTCGGTCCGACTGGTTCGAGTAGATAATTAGGTAAAAAAAAACAAGACCAGTACACATGCAGATAGCAGGTTAAAACTAAGTCAGTATTTACACATTTACAGAACTACGAGTGCTAAAATACAGTAAGCTTTTCTGATCATATATTATTGGGGGGGGGGGGAGAGGGAGAGAGAGAGAGAGTATACCCGAAAAGTTTTTTGGGGGAAAGATAGGAGAAATCATTTCATCACATTATCTCCTCTCTGTCTTTGTTCAGGGTGTCTCGCAATCTCCAAAAAACATTTCCTAACAAAAAGGAAAAATATTCCCAATTTTTCGACACGGCCGAACTGATTAGATGTAAGAAAGAATTTTTTAAAGTCTCAGGAATATAATGTAATAAATAGAACAAAGTATTCGGTATCTAAGCTTATGCAAGAGATTTTGACCTCATTTTTAAAATTTAAAAGACATCAGCGAGAAATCTCTGCAAACGTAAAATTTGCAAAACATTTTCCTAAAAATCTGTGTTTTTCGATTTCCCTGATGTTTCCCAGACACGAAAATTGCTTGCAAAATAAAATTCCCTGACATGCCGAATTTTTGTGAATTCCCTGACATTTCCCCTGATTTCCCTGATCAGAGTATCTACTAAAACAGACTGGCCAAAAATCAATACTTTTACTGCATTTTTTCAGTACGTTCCCAAGAAATTCAGTACTTCCTCGACTGAAAAATTCAGTACTTTTCCAGTACCGTCGATTGACGAAATTAGAAAATTTTAAACATTTGAATTTTTCGCTCAAATTGCGACAAAAATGACAAAAAAATTCCGATCCTCCTTACGGAATTTTCACACTTTTTCAGTACTTCCAGATCACTCTTGAAAATCAGTACTATTTCCGGACTTTAACAGTACTTCTTCAGCACCTCCATTTGAGGAAATTCGGAAAAATTTTAACGTTTGTACACAACGCTCAAATTGCGACAAAAATTCCGGACCTTTTTGCGGAATCCCGCACTTTTTCAGTATTTCCGGACACCCTGCTGATACGAAAAATAATCCCTGAGATTTTCCGGTTTTCCCGGTCACTGGCCGTCCTGTTCTCGGATACCAAAAGAAGGGAGAGTTTAGAGTCCCTTTATACTGAGAGTCAAGAAAATTCGGCTAATGGATGTCACAAACGGGAATAAAGATTACAGAAATTGAACGTTTTTCGTAATCTTTGATCGGCCCATTCTCAAATTCCTTTCTCCGTTCCTCCTCTCATTCCGTTTGTTCCTTGCCGAACCCGTAATTCCCCGGTCCATTCCAGATTATAATCTTTGCAATCGGTAAAAATGTAATCTTTATTCCCGTTTGTGACACTGCATGTGGAGGCCTCAAATACGGGAACCGATCAGAAATGGATTCAAATTGTCTTGACTCTCAGTATAAAGGGACTCTAGGAGAGTTGGGGGATGAACATATCTTGCCTTGGGAGTCTTGCTGCTGCAGCTCTTGTTGCTGCTGCTGCTGCTGTTTCTGCTGCTGCTGCCGCTGCTGGACGTTGATAGTCGTGGCGTTAGCGAGCGAGGACGTAACGGAGCCCCGCACATTTTGGGCGCCGGCGATGTGCGAGGAAATAGTCGTGTCGCGACTCGGTACGACGGGGGTTGTCGGGGTGGATGGCAAGTTCTCGGTCCCTCGGGTCTCGCTGTGCCCGTTAGTGATGATATTAGTCGGACGACTTTGCAGTTTCGTCGAACGATACGATCCTGTTGAATCAATATTTACAATGTAGAGAGTGCAACGAACTTCGACAGGCACCAAACATCAAACCAATGCGCAAGGATGCAAAATAATGCAGCTGAAAATGCATCAGACTAGAGTACCTTTATAGACAGAGTATGGCCATTCGTATCTTTGTACTACAGAAAAACTGTTCCGCTTTTTGATTGGTCAACGAGTTTTTAGGCTTCATGATGCTCTTAGGGCCGTATATTGACAAACAAGATGGCGGCTCACCGTAACATCGATAAGAAGCTAAATTTGACAAAAAGTTCAATTATGCGGCAGTAACAAGTTAAACTAGCATATCTACGAATAACACACGAAAAACAAATGAAAACATTATTAAATCGCCTTTCACCTTTATCACAGGAGGATGTAAGATGTGCATAACCTCAATCTTCCTTGCTGATAACAGCCATCTTGTTTGTTTATTTACGGTCCTAAGAGCATCGTGTCAGCCTATTCGCTCGCGACCAATGAAAAACCGGAACAGAAATGGCCATACTCTGTCTATAAGGGTACTCTACATCAGACCGACTACTGATTGCGGACCTACACTGAGAAAAAAACCTCGTGCGTGGGACCCAAAGTTTTAGGTCATATGGATCTCTGAAGTTTTCGGATTGAGCATCTGAACACTTTAGGTCTAGCTGTCGAGGTTCGGATCACACATCTGAAACTTCAGTTCTTACATCTGAAGTACTTCAGATGTGAGAACCGAAGTTTTTCGGATGTGAGAACCGAAGTTCTTCGGATGTGAGAACCGAAGTTTTCCGGATGTGAAAACCGAAGTACTTCAGATGTAAGAACTGAAGTTTCAGATGTGTGATCCAAACCTCAGCAGCTGGACCTTAAGTGTTCAGATGCTCGATCCGAAAACTTCAGAGATCCATATGACCTAAACTTCGGGTCCCACGCACGAAGTTATTTTCTTTCTCCGTGTAAGAAAGAACGCCGTACGAGCCTTCGGACGTTGTCAAAAGTCCTTCGATAAAAACCGAATTTACTGGGAAATATTTTTCCTCCAATTTTTCAGAGAATTTTGTTCACAATGGACCAATAGACAAGGTACGAATTTAAGCATTCTAATACATGTTTCTTGACCAGAATTTCACGTAGAACACGATTTGCGTAACGAAAATTACCGAAATCAACTCCTAACAAAGATATTAACGTTTATATTTCACATTGGTTACGAGGAGTTTGAACTGCCCGCTCACAAGAAACTCAAAGCTCTACGCGAGTCAAATCGTGCACTACAACGGTTTCAGCAAGCTTCTCAATCAAGCGATGTTCATTTCCCACAATGTACTGTTCAAACTATGAACAACTTGCAATAGCTGAGCTAAAGCGTCAAGATTAAGGTTGCCAGATTTTTATATCGCAGAGACTAGTCATGATAACGTTTAGCGCGCGATGTGAGTCACGTAGAGCATTGAGTTTTCATGAGCGGGTGGTTTGAATTCACGCATCAAGAATCATTAAATATCTTCATAACGGATTGATTTCGGTAATTTTCAATGTGCGCATCGTGTTTTACGTGAAATTTTGATTATGAAACGTGTATCAGAATGCAGAAATTTGAGCCTTGTCTACTGGTCCATTGAATCTAAAATATCCGAAAATTTCAAGGGACAACATGCAAAACTCTCTTCAAAAATACATGTTTTATTCTGAGAAATTTGGCAACTCTTGAGGCTTCATACGTCGTTCTTCCTCAGCACGGCAGTACTACGGTTACGGTACTATGGTAGGTAATTAGTTTTTCATGCGCACTTATTGGTTAAAAATATGATTTTTTTTTTCAGTGGCGTGGCGTGCTTTGCGACGTATCGATTAATCTACAATTTAAACCCATGGAAAAAGATCGAACACCTTGATGATCGACTCTTTATCATAGCTTCAAATGGGGAAAATCAATAGTCGATCATTCACACCTCGCCAATGATTTTTCACTAAATGTTACTTATGATTTTAGCTGCGAACAGGAATGTTCCAAAGAAAAACAAAAATAAAAAGTAGCATTTCCTTTGTTTCAGCTAATAAAAATGATGTGTTTTTACAGATAAGAGGATGAAACATGGTGTTGCGCAGAAATAGTCTGCTTGTGATCAGTTTTCAATGTACTTATTCGTATTCCAAAAGATTTGGTCGAAAATCTAGTTTCATCACAGAAAATTACTCATGAATATTACTGAAAACACTTCGGTCCAACATATGATTTCCTTCATTTCTGCTATTTTTCTCAAGAAATGTGTTGCTTTTCCAGATATGAGAGCCACAATTATGAGAAGGATAAAAAGGATCTCACGGTGCGATCTCAGTAAGAAGAGAGATCAAATTTCAAAAATACAATACTTCGCATAGTTTTCAAAACATTTTTCACGACATAATTTTTGATTTTTTACACGTTAGACAAAACAGAGTAGAACATGAAAAAGTACCATCAAGGTAGGAGGGCGTAGGGAGGCGTTTGGGGGCTTCGGCTGCCAGGTTGAAAGTGTTGGAGCTTCTGACTTTACTGCGCGACAAAAACGGCTTAAAATTTTTGTAATCGAAAAGGTAAGAGGGCGACGGGGCTGTTTCCATTCTCGGCGGACGGTGCTTTGACTTGGCTGCTTTTGGCGGGAAAGATGAAACAGGACGGGGAAGGATTTGTAAAAAGAGGGAAAACTTAAGGTGATGCGTCAAGCTCAAAAGAAGTGGTCGAACTGGCATGCGATATATCGCATCTTATAGGTCAAAAATCTCGGCAGATTTTGAATTTTCAGCAAAAAAAAGGACGATAGCCCCTGCGCATGAGCCTAAAGAATCATTCTAATCCCAAAAATCTGCAAAATTCAGAGAAATGAAAGCAGGATAGTGTATTTGGGAGAAAACCTCGCATTCGATTCAGCTATCGATTTCTGTATCGAATGTGAGGTTTTATTCCAAACACTATCCTGCTTTCATTTCTCTGAATTTTGCCGATTTTTGGGTTTAGAATGATTCTTTAGGCTCATGCGCAGGGGCTATCGTCCTTTTTTTTTTTGCTGAAAATTCAAAATCTGCCGAGATTTTTGACCTAAAAGATGCGATACATCGCATGCCAGTTCGACCACGTCACTTGAGCTTGACGAATCACCTTATGAGGAGAGGAGAGAAAATGGCGAGTTTTGAGAGTTGGCAACACTGCTTTGTCTTCCTTTAAATGTATGTAAAACAGGGTTGCCACAGAGTTTAGGCGATAAAATTCCCTGATTTGCCTTACACATTTTGGCGAAATTCCCTGACAATTGAAGATGTGACGGATGGTCAAGAGGGCATAATTGAAAATAGTTTTCAGGCAAAATTTGTCGTTCGAAACCTCAAACCTGAGTCTGGAAAGCAAACGAAGGGATTTAAAAAATTTTCCCTAACACTTCCCAGTTTTCCCTGACTTTTTAAAATTCCCTGACAGTTCCCGGTTTTCCCTGACTGTGGCAACCCTGGTGAAACAATCGATTCTTGGTGAGACAGCTTGCCTCACCTGGCATCGATATTTTATGTGGATTCAAATGGAGAAAAAACAGCGTTGCCAGCTTGCTTGAATCGCCACTGAGGAGAGAAAAGGAAATGTAATAATTCAGAGTTTTTGAAACATTCAAGATTTTACGGGCGGCGTAGAACAAAAGGAAACCGAGCGTGGCGATTCTTGAGAGTTGGCAACACTGCTTTTCCTTCCTTTAAATGTAAGTAAAACAATCGATATTTTTCATGGATTTAAATGGAGGAAAAACAGTGTTGTCAACTTGCTGGAATCGCCGCTGAGGTAAAAAACGGGAAATATTATAATTCAGACTTAAAGATTTGAAATATTCAAGATTTAAAGGGCAGCGTAGAACAAAAAGAAACCAAGCGCGCGTTTCAGGAGACCACCAGTGGCGCGGCGTGCTTTGCGATATATCGATTGATCTGACATTTAAACCTATGGAAAAGGATCGATAAACGGGGTGCTCGCAACGAGCACCTTAATGATCGACTCTTTACCATAGCTTCAAATGGGGAAAAATCGATTATCGTTCATTCATGCTTCGCCACTATGCATGCCCTTTCGTTTCCAGGTGTCCCCTGATTTTTACAGAATGGAGATGTTGCATGTGTGAGGAATTTGCGATTTAACTGTTGATTCTTATGTAAAAGTTCGTGAGAAACACGATGTTGCCACTTGTTTTCTCTGAAATCAACTCCCAAGTTCAAAAAAGCTCTCAAGCTGAGGCCAAAATGGAGGGAATATCCCACGCTATCCTGAGAGTCCACCTCTACATCAAGACGAACTCTCCATGCAAAGATATAAGGGAGCAAATACATTGACAGGGCTGCCACTTCTTTTGGGGACCACTGGGGAAAAAACACATTGGATCTAGAGTCCAGATTCTTGAAAACATTAACGAGAAAAAATACTCTTGATTCAATCGGATTTTTGCTTGAATCAAAACGAAATCCGCTTAAATTAAGAGGCTTGGTTCTTGATTTAAGCTAGATTCTGATTGAATCAAGAGTACTTTTTCTTGTCGATGTTTTTAAGAGTCTGGACTCTAGATCCAATGTGTTTTTTGTATCCAAAGACTCTAAAACTGAAAACACGGTATCACTGCTAATGTATTTGCTCCCTATCTATGCCCTATCTTTGCATGGAGAGTTTATTTTGATGTAGAAGTGGACTCTCAGGATAGCGTGGGATATTCTCTCTATTTTGGCTTCAACTTGAGAGCTGTTTTTGAGCTTGGAAGATGATTTCAAAGAAAACCAGTAGCACCATCGTACTTCTCGCGAACTTTTACATAAGAATCAACAGTCAAATCGCAAATTCCTCACACATGCAACATTTTGTTAAAAAAAAAAATTAAATAAATCAAAAAAGAAAAAAAAAGGAAACTCAGGATAAAAAGACCGACGATGACACAACACACGACTCTCGACGGCGAAACAACGGGCGCACTAATCTCGGCGTCGCGACGCCCGTCGTCGAAGTCCCCGCCAGAGGCAAAGCGTGAATGATCGATTTTCGATATTTCTCCATTTGGAGATATGGTAAAGAATCGATTATTATAATATTCTTGGCGAACACTCTGTCTATCGATCCTTTTCCATGGATTCAAACGGCAGATCGATCGATATATCGACAGCACGCCACGCCATTGGCCCCCGACGCGCTGACCGCTCGCCCGGGCGCGGGCTAATAAACCTGTTTGCACAATCGAAGCCATTAAATATGAAACGGACGGAGTATTGTAAGTTGCGCCCGACATGCGATGGTCGGGCAAAACGCGGAACGACTCGCGATTTTATCTCCGCGTTATTAGCGCCGCGCCGCGCGAGCACTTCGAATTACACGCGGGCAGTTTCGAGTGGGCTTGAGAAAACAAAAAAGTCGGGCTGTAGGTCACCGGGTGACTTCGCGTCGCTGCCCCGTGTTGCCACTTCCCCACGAATTAGAAGGATTTCGGGATTGAGGTAAATTTTGCAACAATGCACTGCCGAATAAGTCTGTTGCATAAGTTGAAACTTTTACCGCGGAGACTTGCTTAAGTTAATTATAGTTAATTTATTGCGATGATCAGCAACTAGGCTATTCGCATCGGAGACCAGGAATTTACCTGTTTTTAAATTTACTCGCTTAGAGAAATTAAAAATTTCGGTAATTACCTTTGGATGATCAGAGCTAAAAGAATGGATGTTACCATGTTACCAGGAAGGTAATTTTGATCATGATGTTTCCTTACCTTTCGTGTAAGTATTGGGAGGTATAGTTTAAAGTTGATTTTTGGAGGAAAATATTTCAAAATATGAAATTTTTTCAAACTCAAATATGCAAACCTTTGACACAGTAAAATCTTAATCCTCAAATTCCCTGACTATTTGTGCTTTTCCCTGACTCCAAAATTGTAAGATTCCTTGACTTTCTCTGACATTCGAGTAAATCTTCCACTTTGATTTTCTCCCCTGCACTCAATTCAGCTTAACTTTCTCGCAAAATTTCCGTACTTCCCCCAGTCCCCACAAATTTCCTTACTTCCTCTGACCTTCCCGGTTTTCCAAATCGCCGGCAACTCTAAAATTCGTACCTCGTTTACTTGTCCATTGAAACTTTCTAATCTCTAAAATTTAATGTTTGGAATTTCAACCCCTTCAAGTCACAGCGCAAGGGTCTACGGATGGTTTTGGGGTCCAAAAATGTTGAGACTTCTTTTTCCATATTGCAGCTACAAATCATTATGGGCACGGGTGCTGCACCGCGAGAAGTCAAGTTTAGCGTTCCTCCCTGACGGCGATTGGGGCTGTTGCGCGGGGGGTTGAAACCGCGGCCGGTCATAACATTCAAGCCCAGGGAAAGTCAACGACCCCTCGGTGTCCTGACACGGACACGACCGGTCCGATTTTCGCTCCCGACTTTGTCTTTACCCGCTCAGGGCGCTCGGACGCGACCACGTGATCACAGAACCACCTTGCACGCTATCCGGCTTTCAAGTCGAGGCGTTAACTTCTAGCGCCACTTTTTTTCATCGAGCCGGGACGCTACCATTTAGAGTAAGCACTGATCAAGACTTAAAACAACCCTCCCTTTCCCCCGGGGCCGGACTGGTGGAAAAATCGCACCGAGGGAGGGGTCTCGAGAATATGGGGAAACCCCCGGGATAACTGATTGTGAGTCAGGGGCTACCCTGCCTTATTTTAAAAAGTAAAAAATCCTTCATTTCTACCGGATAGGCAATATGCATACACCAGTGCTCGAATAGTTGCATCCTCACGAGAAGATAGAGTTAAAAAGGAACCCGGGCCTCACACCGAGGGGTCTCGAGAACACGGACGTTTGTCAGCGTGTGAGGGTTCACACGGCGTTCTTCCTTAGCGCGACAGTGTGCAGGTATAAATCATAAACATATCATACCCGATCGCCAAGCACTGAACGCCACACTCGAAAAGATTATTTTCTCTATCTCAGGAGCTTCTTAAAATCAATCGTGCATATGTTTCTAGGCAAATCACACACACACGCGCGTAGGGTAAAAATTCGATTGTGCGACTGCAATTAAGTTTTTAAAAAAGAAACACACAAAATCAAACTTTGCGAGAAAATCGAAAATCCGTTCATCTAGAGGAATGGTTACAAGGGGCGGTAGCTTAAAAACCAGAAGTGTAAGTTCAAAAAACAAGTGAAGAAAAATCAAAGTTAGACAAACCTTAACTACACGAGTAAATGGTGATTAGTTAAGTTTTAGAGGTAGTTCGTGAACGTGGCAACCAAACAGGGCTTGTGCAACTATAAACGAACATTATCGTTCGAAAAAAATTACAGACTCTCGCAAGTTGGCAAAACTTTTTCCCTCCATTTAACTATGCGCTATATATTCGATAAAATATCACTTGTTTTACATGCATTTAAATAGGCGAAGTACAGTGTTGCCAACTTTAAAAAAATCGCCACTGAATGCGAACGAGAAAGTGCGGTGAGGTCCTTGCACCACCGCAGGTTGCGAATGGGGTTGGGGGAGGGGGGAGGCGGCGTGAAAAAATTATCCAGGGCCAATTTAAGTGATTTGCATCTTGAGAAAAACATAATAAAGGAGGAAATAATGGAATGTGGCGATGCAATATGCAGATTTTGATTCGCAGTCTTGAGATTTCAAAAAAAAAAACTGGAGTGGAGGATAAGGGAGGAAAAACTGGCTTTAAAAGCTGCACGAGCTCTGTGAAAACTCAAGGAACGTTACGGAGGGGTGAAGGAGATGATGAAGTTGAAGACAAATATATATAACATGGTTTCTGGTTTAGTCGACTGCAATTACGTTGCGATTAGTAATTTCTACAACGATATGGACATGATAAAGGACGGAACACTGACCTTTATTGGAGACTACTGGCGCTGGAGTGGCTTTGTTGGTAGAATACTGAAACAAAAAAAGACGAGGAAATTTCAATTCTTGAACCAGTGAAAAACTACCATTATACGCTGGAGAGAAAAATCAAAAAACGATGCGCAGGGAAAATCCGGTAAAGTTCCACTTTGAAATCAAGAATTGAATTATGAGGAAAGTAGCGCCCAGTTTATTTTTTCTTCTTCGCCTTTTGGAAAAATAATGCAACGGTTACCAGGATCTAGACAGTAATTCGATGAGCCCGCTCTTCAAATTTTCGAACTATAACCTAGATATAATGGCGGTGCTCTAAGGCTTGGGGCTTGGAGAGGGGGGGGGGGTTATGGAACTATATGTAACTTTCTGAAAGCGCCCTCTTCTCCGTATGAATGTCGTGGTCCCTCTGACGTAAGGACGTATCTCAATTTCCACAAGAGCCTTGTTTTACATTAGAGTCCATGCTTCCTGGGGCTCATTCTGAAATCGATATACGCCCTCACGTCAAGGGGAGCGACGATACCGCACGATCCGAGGCGGTTTTTACTACTCTGATGTGCTAAGGAAAAACGCCGTATGAACATTTGAGTGTTGCCAAATTGCATCTCAAAAAATAATTAATTTCCGAGAAAAGTAAAGAATAATTTCCCTTCGAATTTTCGGACACTTTAGATCACATTACGAACGAAATTCTCAGAAAAATCTGAAGAAAATTGTCGACAAATTTTCCGGAAAATTCGTGATCTGTCGACGGAAATTTGGCAATGTCCGAAGGCTCATACGGCGTTCTTCTTTAGCACGGCAGTACTGATCCAGAAATCACGTTAAAATTAATGAGAGAACAACTCGGCAGCAAAATTACGTCGGATTGGAGATTTTTCCGAGGGGAATAAGTTGGTTGCGTGCATTTTGAGGCTTTGGACTGGGGAATCGGTTGTTCGTGAAAATTTTAAAACATATTGCAGCCGACGAGAACGGAAAGTTCCATCCACCTCGTTCACGTTCAAGGTCAGTAGCTCCGATGTGCAGTTGTACTTTCATGCGCCCCGAGCCGCGAGTGTGGTCATTTTTTACTGGAAAAAAAGACTCTCAAACTCAAATTTTATGGCGCGTTTTTTAAAAAAAAGAGAGAAAAAGAGATGGGAAAAAAGAAAAAGACCTATTGATTCTGACAGTTAAACTGAACTGCTATGAGTGTTACAAGCGTTCGATTTGATAGAATTAATAATTTTTGCTATCGTAAATGCCAGGGTCGGATTAACGGGATTGCAGTCCCCCATATTTCAAAAGTGATCAATTTTTTGCCATTTTTTTAAATACCCCTTCCTCTGGTGTGTTCTTTTTTTCTATTTTCCCCATTTTTTTGGGCTCCTTCCGCTTACCTTGCTGATTTTTTTTTTTTTTTTTTTTTTTTTTTTTTTTTTTTTTTTTAATATATTTTCCCCCATCTTCTCTTGTTTCCCCGACTGCCGTATATTCTTTTATCCATGGTTCTTTCCTAGGTTTTTTTTTCTTTTTCATCCTCTTTTTCTTGTCCCCCTTATATCGTTGTTCACATTCGCTTCAACTGATTCCCCTTTTTTTGGTCTCTTTTCCCCTTTTTCTTAGCTTGTTGATTTTCACAACTTTACCTTGAAGAATGGCGTGATTGAAAAACACAAAAAGAAAAAAAAATGAAAAAAAGAGGGGAAAAAAAGGTCATCGCTTCCAAACTTTGCCACCCGAGGCTGAAGCCTCCAAGCTCCCTCATCCCTTCCCCAATCCAGCTTGGTCTCTACGTCTCGCCTCGAGCAGATGCCCTTCGCAATTATCACCAAAACAAATATTAAAAAATGTCTCTGATTTTGAGAAAAACCTTCAGTTTACTCGAGTTTTTCCTCGGGAGTGGCTATTGCAGCTCCTGAATGTAGGCCGTCCTGGATGAAACGGAAAAGTCGACACCTCAAAGTACCTCAGCTCCGAGCAGGAAATCAAGGCCAGCTCCGCGCGGCTCTATTGTTGAATCGTTATCGAATGATTTGATCGATAAATCCCCCTATCTTAACAATGATTTTTATCGACCGAGACAATTCGATATCGATTGTTGAATCTATATCGAATGATCTTGATCGATAAATCCCTATCTTACCAATGCTTTTTATCGATCGAGGCCATACGATATCGATTCAACAATCGAGCCGGAGATCGAGCGACTGGACTTGAGTTGGAGTGGTCACTTGGTCGCTTCGCGTTCGATGGCAATCGTATACGATTGACGGACCACGAGTGTCATTTTCAAGTGGCTCTTGTCTCGAGTTGAGATAGGTCACGGAATGGATGGCAAATGGGAAAAAAACTGTTGCTCGCTTCGCACCAATCGAGCTCCTTATTTTTCACCAGCATGATCAGAGACAATACATTTCAGAGACCCCACACTAAAATTTTTCGATATATTAATCAATATATTTATTGATTCCTTTTCAGAAACCATGCCAAAAAATACCGAAAAGCTGGAGAGAAGTCGGGAATTTTAGGTTCAAAATATCTGAATAGTCAAGGAATTTTTAAATCCAAGAGAACCTGTCACATTGCAAACAACGATGATCACGATCGGGCCGTGATTTCGCTAGTTTTTGCCAATAACGGTACCGCAAACTGTACTATTCAGCACGCAGCCACACACAAAATTAAAATTGTAAATAATTAATGGGATACGATTTTTACATACTTCCAATGAGCAAATTAAATGTGAGGATTCAGAAGAGGTTTAAATGTATATTTGCCGATCAAATGGGCGATTAATTTTCGCATGAATCGTCTCTATTCTATCTACTTATTTATCATCTATTTGCTTGTTTTTTTAAATTCTTTCTATTTGATCAAATACTCAAATCGCTCCATTTTTGTGCGATGACGACGTATAAATGCAATGAGTGATGCATTTCCTTATCACAAGCGGAAAAAATTGAAGGCATCTCGGCTTTCCTACGGGCTAGGTCTGAATGCAACTATTCGTGTTCTGGGGATGTCCGTGTTGCATACACAAAAAATTGCAGGCGTTCTGGTTCTCTTCGGCACAGTGTGCGGCTACGGTTGGTAGTACTCGAGGGTTTTCTACGTTGCATTAACTATCGTGTTCTGTCGAATGAGCCGTTTTGCATCGCAGGAACGTTGCCTGATGGTGCAAATTTTCTACCAAAAAATCCCGCGCCAACTGAGAGGACCTTGAGGATTGAGGATTTTGAGAATTTGATACAGAGGTAGACTCTCATCAGAATAGCGTGCGATATCTCCTTCATAAGAGCCTCAACTTTGAGAGCTTTTCTTGAGTTTTGAAGTTGGTTACAGAGAAAACCAGTGACACCATCGCGTTTCTCGCGTTTCGTGTAGGAATCAGGACTTAAATCGCAAATCCCCGACACATACACATGCAAGAGTTCCCTTCCCCGTCGCTCCTGACTTTACCAAGTCGCTGTGAACTCCCTAGACTTTCCAGGTTTTCCAGACCGCCAGAGACCATCCATTTTCGTCCCGAAATCAATGTAAAATAGTCGCCTGGCCCCTTACCGTACGCTCCTGACATTAGGACGTAACTAAACCCTGTCAGTGGTGTGATGGCGTTGATGTAATCGTATTTTGTCATATCTTCTTCAATAATTGTTCAATTAATGAACCGAGTGAATCCTCGTGTTCATTTCACCCGGTAGTTTCCACTTAAACACGAAATTCATCAAATTTCTGAGACCTGCGAATTCTCTATTCCCTGACATTTCCAGGTTTTCCCTGACATTTCCAGGTTTTCACTGACATTTCCAGGGTTTCCCTGACATTTCCAGGTTTTCCCTATTATTTTTAAAATTCCCTGAAATTCCCGGTTTTCCAAGACCGTAGCAACCCTGTGGCGACTAATGGGACAGAATTTTGAGTTATCCGACCGCAATCCTGTCCCCCGTCACCCGCGATCACACGTGTGACAAAAATAAGCCTCGGATGCGTCAGCGAGCTCGACAATATTTTCTGACATATCCGTAAAATTCCCTGACATTTCCCGGTATTCCCTGACAGTGGCAACCCTGCATCGACTGATATAACTGAATTTTGAGTTATCCGACCGCGATCCTGCCCCCCGTCACCCGCGATCACACGTGCGACAAAAATACGCCTCGGCTGCGTCAGCGACGACGATTTCAGTCCGATGGCGACGTGGAGGCTTTCACGGTCAAGTTTGGCGGGAAGCTCCAGGCCGCGTCGTCGGGGGCGCAGTGCAGCTGGCTCGGTGCGTCCGTCATCGATTGCGGTGTTGGGTCCGTTGCGGAGGGCAACACGACGTCGGGAGCCCCGCGCGCAACTGCAGCGGCGGCGCTCCGCACTGCAACCCCCCTCCCCCGCCCCCACCCCGCCGGCCCGGGGATCGATGCGACACCGCGCGGCGCGCGGACGGCACGGCGCGCGGGGCGGGGGGCGGGGTCACGTGACGCCGAGCGGAAGCCGAGCACGCATGCCGCAGGGAAAGCGGCGTGCGAGGGGGGGCAGGTTTCCGGCCGACGAAGCCAATCCCGCAGCGTCGCCGCGAGTAGCACGCACGGAGTGGCACGGAGGCCCGCGACTCGCTCGCCAGTCCGCGAAAAATATTCCGCCGAGAGTGAGAAAATTTCCTTTCCCGCGTGAAAAACCCCCCAGCGCGGAACCCCGTGCGTGGAAAAGCTCGCGGTCGGGGCCATGTGATTCCAACGTGTGTTTATTTACGTTCCTTTTTTGTGTGCGCGCGTCGGGGTGTTCCAAGGTCGCCATGGATCTCAGAGCCAAACGACAGGTAAGAGACTCGACGCAACGCAACGCAACGGTCAACCGCGGACCGATTGCCGTTCGTTGGGTAACAGGATTTCCATCAAGGTCGACTGCCGTTGGTGCTGGAGCGATTTGCATAGCGAGGGCTGACAAACAATACCACCTAACTGACGATTTTGGCGAAAAAAGTTAGCGACAGTGTCGCATTCTACAGTATAAAATACGCCAGCTGATGATTTTAGTTTTTTTTTTTCCAAATTCTATAAGGAAGCGCTTCAACGGCGCTGTAATGCATGAAAAATTGCGAATCTAACCTTAAAATTACAAAAATGGAGAAGTTTTCTCTTCGTTCTGCAAAATCGTAAGTTAGCAGATGGGGGGTAATGTTCGTTAGCCATCGAAAAATTGGTTCTCGCGAATTGATTAGGTGGCTACGTCATTCGTTGTATACCGCAGACCGATGGCTCCAGTGTAAACAGACGCATAACCTTGTTGTATTCGCGTAATAATGGTAAAATGCGTCCAAGAGCCTTATTGCAATCGGGATTTCTTCGGTTTTACGAGTCATTGATTGGTTTATAATTCGGTAATGACAAAATTCCGATGAAGTAACGCAATTACCTCTGCGCGACATTTTGACTTGAGATTTTGTTCTCTTGTTTTGGTTGAAACTATCGAAAATCTATGCATCGTCGAAAGTGACGTGATTGAAGTAGGCGAAAAATCTCTGGAAAAATCAGTTATTTGCCGTTGAAATAGGTTATGTTCTTGGTATTACTTGCGTTAGGTTAGTTTCATTGCTGTCAGCATTGATTACACCAAAAACCACAGATTCTCTGGCGACCCTCTGAGTGCGTAACCTTTCAGTACCATAAATTTTGTGAAATATTAATTATTAATATTAATATTGATTTAATATTAATTATTAATTTAGCAAAATAATGCTGAAACCTAATCTTGGAGAAAACTTTATCTTTAATTTTGAAAATAACTAATTTTGTCGTTAGATCAACTCGTCGCGAGTTATCATAGAGTACATAGAGTCGTAATGTAAATGGTAGAGCTGGCGCCATGTTCTGCTCGACGAATTCCGAGCCCGGTGTGCGCCGAGTTCGGGTCGCTTTTTCGATACATTTTCGATCCAAAATGGCGGTGTGGAATACGTGGTAATCCCTATCTCCTCTGTTGTTGTTGTTGTTGTTGTTGTCATCGGATGGCCGGGTACCCGTGTATCGCAAACAATCGATTATGTATCGAAAAAGTGACCCGGCGTCACACAGGAGTTTCGGAATTCGGGACATGGAAAATGCTTAAAAGTGGCGCCAGCTCTCCCACTTACATTACGACTCTATGTACTCAATGCGAGTTATAGACCAAAAACTGCAAGAGTAGTCAATTTAAAGTCATCTTCTCGAAATTTGGTGCCTGTCCAGTGCGAATATTTATGCACGAAGTTGAATGCAGCTCGCACGATCGTTAGGCAAATTATATGCTCAACAAGTTGCTCATCAATCATCATTGAGCGAACAGTAGCGTTGATCTCCGAATTTGCCTTTCGCCTACCCAATTAAATGGACGAATTCATTTGCATTTTTTGCTCACCCATTTACATGGATTGGTCAAGCGGAATCTCTACAGGATGTTCCTGAGAAAAGGAGCCAGTCTGGACATTTCGAGAACGCTTTTGAATTTCAAAATACGTTGAAAAGGGGGGGGGTGTCCCCCCACCTAACTCAACATTTTTGAGCAGCAAACCCACTTTAATACTTCAGAAAACTTTAACGCATAGAATTTCAGATTTACAGCTCAACCTGGACGTCAAACAATAAGAATATTTCCAAATGGCAACCCTTCGACTATTTTTTCGGATTTTTCATCAATCAAGAAACTCGAACCGGCTCGTTTTTTACGGGACACCCTGTATAATAACTCATCTCGAACCTTAAATGGACTGAATTTTGCAATTTGGAACTATAAATTCTGGCTCATATGAAAAACACTTATGTCCATAGGGAAACCAATGGCACATACGTTGTTTTTAAACCGGGCCAGAATTTATAGTTTAAAATTGCAAAATGCGGTCCAAGTTTCGTGCCAAACCCTTTTTTCGGACTCCACGTCAAAATTTCTCGAGACACCCAAACTGCCTCGTTTCCCCCACGACACCCTGTATAATACATCGTCTCCGGCCTTTTCGTGCCAAAACTCGACGACTCAAACCCGACATCGCAACGCTTTGTCTTCGCATCCGTTCATCGTCGGCTCGAGTGACACTGTGACACCCATCCATCCGGCTCACAATCAGGCGAGGTTTTTGACCATCGCAACGGCGAGCGGCTTGGGGCGACGCATCGCATCGCGCCGTCAGCGTCCGACCCAGCAGCGTCGCGACGCCGCTGTTCAAGACCAAGACCGCACACGACCTACGGCGACGCCGATGCGATGTGTGTTATCGAGAAACGATTACGTCACCGACGATACATAATTCTTTTCACGGTTACTCGCGGCCGCAGCAGTGCGGTCGAATCGAACGCGCTGCGTCCGTCCGCGGAGCTAGGTTACCAGGTTACGCGATGAATTGCGGTTGTTTTGCATAAGTTCGAATACGGGCGAAAATCTGTTTTTCCGAAGCAATGTCTGGCAACAATGCCGCGGAGTTATCAATCTCGAACCGCATCGCAGTTTCGCGGGGCCGACTATGCCTCTCCTCGCGCAGGGTTGCCTCGCTTCCCCCGAGAAAAGAACCGCACTGAAATGCTGGAAATTTAATTGAAATTTTCGTTTGTGCTTGATAAAATCGCGAGGGAAATTTTCCGAAAAATTCGAGGGGAAAATTGCCAAGATTACCTTCATTCGTATACCGAATATTCGTCTATCAAATGGACTACATTTTGCAATTTGGAACTATAAATTCTAACCCGGTTTAAAAACAACATAATGTGCCATTAGTTTCTTAATGCACATAAGTGTTTTTCCAGAAGACCCAGAATTTATAGTTCCAAATTGCAAAATGCAGTCCAAATATTCGTAAACCGAATATTCGTATTTTATTGGGAGATATTAGGCAACGCAGGGATGTATTCAGCCGGTTGCCTCTGTGCCTAGTCATAGAATTATTGACCTGCATAATTTTTTGCCCATTCTCGTGAATTTTCTTCTTTATTAGAGGGATATTCAAAGGACATGTCCAAGCACGGTTCGTTTGAGTAAAAGTTATATGAAATTGTCTATCACTCAAAAAGTTTTTTCGGATTCGAAAAGTAGAGTGAAAATGGAGTCTTTCTAGCTAAAAATGAAAATAGGTTGTTCGAGCTCCTGGAGAAATATATCGTTTTTTGTATTTTTTAGGGCTTATTAGAGGGTGATACGAAAATTGAATCAAATTTTGTGAATGTTTCTGTTTTAATTTCTAAACTAAGATAGCTATCAAAATGATCTTGGTTTCATTTTAAAGCTGGTGTAATTTGCCGTCAATTGAATGGTCTGAAAGCTAATTTTGTCAAAAATTGACAAAGTTATGATAGCTTGAATAAAGGGTATCCAAAATAAGCTTACTTGTTTTCCTTACCGAGTAAGGCTCTATTTTTTCTTTTTTTCCCTTCAAGACCAAAAACACTAGAGTCAATCTGTAAAAATTACAGCATTTGTAGTACTCTCAGGTCTGTAACGAGCGTCAGATTTTTAAATTTGACCCATTGGTTCCGGAGAAAATCAATTTTTGGTTTCGGTTCCGTTCTACTTACAATCAGCTATTGACATACGGCACAAGACGCGCCACTGACGAGGAGACCAAGTACAGAAAATCGATTTTATCCACTTTAACAATCGATCAAATTTAACATGTAAGGCTCGTTAGAAAGTTCAAAATATGATAAAGAACATTTTACTCTTTGCGTGTTTTCCCTAAGCCCCCATTTTTTGGAGTTATGGGTCATTTTCGGGGCAATTTTCAATTCGATGCTGTAAGTGGCCAAAATATTCACATTTCAAAATCTAAAAGTCTCCTGAGAGGAGAGGCCAATACCTTTTTATTGATGTGCCATATGACCCCTGCTGCTCCAAAATTTTGGGGGCCACGACCTCTCAAAAATTTTGGGGCTTTGGAGGGCCATAAGTCACAAAAATTTCAAATAGCAAGGGTATGTTTCGACTTCAGATATGGATTTTACGCCAAAAGTAACGTAGAATTGATATGGCGCACGGCCTGTTTGATTCAGATTTTTTGTGCCCCTTATTTTCTCCACAAATACTCTGCCTTTTATGGAGAAATGGAGTTCTTTAGTAACTTGGAGCAAACAGGCCGTGCGCCATATCAATTCTACGTTACTTTTGGCGTAAAATCCATATCTGAAGTCGAAACATACCCTTGCTATTTGAAATTTTTGTGACTTATGGCCCTCCAAAGCCCCAAAATTTTTGAGAGGTCGTGGCCCCCAAAATTTTGGAGCAGCAGGGGTCATATGGCACATCAATAAAAAGGTATTGGCCTCTCCTCTCAGGAGACTTTTAGATTTTGAAATGTGAATATTTTGGCCACTTACAGCATCGAATTGAAAATTGCCCCGAAAATGACCCATAACTCCAAAAAATGGGGGCTTAGGGAAAACACGCAAAGAGTAAAATGTTCTTTATCATATTTTGAACTTTCTAACGAGCCTTACATGTTAAATTTGATCGATTGTTAAAGTGGATAAAATCGATTTTCTGTACTTGGTCTCCTCGTCAGTGGCGCGTCTTGTGCCGTATGTCAATAGCTGATTGTAAGTAGAACGGAACCGAAACCAAAAATTGATTTTCTCCGGAACCAATGGGTCAAATTTAAAAATCTGACGCTCGTTACAGACCTGAGAGTACTACAAATGCTGTAATTTTTACAGATTGACTCTAGTGTTTTTGGTCTTGAAGGGAAAAAAAGAAAAAATAGAGCCTTACTCGGTAAGGAAAACAAGTAAGCTTATTTTGGATACCCTTTATTCAAGCTATCATAACTTTGTCAATTTTTGACAAAATTAGCTTTCAGACCATTCAATTGACGGCAAATTACACCAGCTTTAAAATGAAACCAAGATCATTTTGATAGCTATCTTAGTTTAGAAATTAAAACAGAAACATTCACGAAATTTGATTCAATTTTCGTATCACCCTCTAATAAGCCCTAAAAAATACAAAAAACGATATATTTCTCCAGGAGCTCGAACAACCTATTTTCATTTTTAGCTAGAAAGACTCCATTTTCACTCTACTTTTCGAATCCGAAAAGACTTTTTGAGTGATAGACAATTTCATATAACTTTTACTCAAACGAACCGTGCAAGGATGAAACTGAACTGATTCCCTCCGAAAAAATAAAATCGGAGCAGACATTTAGAAACTGTGGTTGAGTTACGCGATTTCTGACAAGAATCAGCGCAACTACATCAGAATCAGATGTTGCACTGGAGACAAAAAAAAAAAAAAAAAAAAAAAAAAAAAAAAAAACCATTGGATCTAGAGTCGAAACATCAACAAGAAAAAATACTCTTGATTCAATCAGATTTAAGCTTAGATCCAGAACCAAGCCTCTTAATTTGAGCGGATTTCCGTTTGATTTATGCTTAAATCAGATCGAATCAAGAGTATCTTTTCTTGTCAATGTTTTCAAGAGTCTGGACTATAGATCCAATGTGTTTTTCTTCCAATGTACCTGATTATGGCTAAGCATTGACCTGCCTTAAACTTTTTTTAGTTTATTCTTGTCACTTCGGGGGAAATTACCGAGAAATTTTGATAAGTCATGAGGCTAAGTTTTCGTGCAGAAAATTAAAAAAGAGGCATTTGGAGAATGGGCGATGCAGTTGGGCCGGTCAAATCCGTTTGATTGAAATTACATAAAAAGAAAGTCTTGGGTAAGCAGCGTACGGTTCATTCTATGCAGTGGCGTGGCGTGCTTTGCAACACATCGATTGATCGCCATTTAAACCTTTGGAAAAGGCTCGATAAACGTGGTGTCCGCAACGAGCACCTTAATAGTCGATTCTTTACCACGGCTTCAAATGGGGGAATATCGATAATCGATCAATCACGCCTCGCTACTGATTCTACCAGTGGCGTGGCGTGAATTGCGATATATCGATTGTTATGCCATTTAAACCTATGGAAAAGGATCGATAAACGTGGTGTCCGCAACGAGCACCTTAATAGTCGATTCTTTACCACGGCTTCAAATGGGGGAATATCGATAATCGATCATTCACGCCTCGCTACTGATTCTACCAGTGGCGTGGCGTGAATTGCGATGGATCGATTGTTATACCATTTAAACCTATGGTAAAGAATCGATTATTAAGGTGTTCGCTGCGAAGACCCTGTTCATCGATCCTTTTCCATAGGTTTAAATGGCATAACAATCGATATATAGCAATTCACGCCACGCCACTGGATTCTACGACTCCTCTCCTGACATCCCTTCGCGACCCGCAACTCATTAGGGCAGAAAGCTCCTGCTCCCCTCCCTGTAAATGACTCCCCATTGTGCACTGGACCACCCTTCCCCAACGCTGCCGCGCTGCCATGCTAAGGAAGAACGCCGTATGATCATCCGAGAGTTGCCAAATTTCCCTTGGTAAAGCATGTATTTTTGACGACATTCGTGTACATTTTTCTTTGAAATTTTCAGATATTTTAGATTAAATTGCGAACGATATTGTCTGAAAATTTTGGAAAAAAATATTCACAATTTTCCTGGTAAATTCGGTTTTTTTCGAAGGAAATTGTGCAACGTTTGAAGGCTCATACGGTGATCTTCCTTAGCACGGTAGCATACCACATGACATCCTCTCGAATTATCAGTCTTAGCAAGCTGTCACACAGTAGAGCGCGTCGACCGGATGGGTAGGATATGTTGTGGAAACTTTAAAAGCTGACAGATACATAAATACAAAACGTTAAAGTTTAGAAGTTTTTCATTGGTTCTCTTTTAATTTTTTTTTTTTTTTAAAAAAATTACACCTTAAAATTTGTAATGTAAAGGAATAAACATCAGAATTTGCATTTTGAATCATAAATTCCATGTCTGAGTGCTGTCTGACCTTTCCTAATAATTGTCCGTTTCATTATACATCACATTGTTTCGTGGTGCGGCAATGCAACAGGGTGTCTACTTTAGTACGAGATCATTTAAAATCCTTGCTTTTACATTTTATTTTTCCGTACTTCGTGATACAGGTACAGCGCAGACGAAGACAATGCCATCTATCGCAATGTGCAAGTGACATCACTCATATTTTTTCACGTAGCTTTTCAAAAAGAGGAAAGAAATCATGTTGGAAAACCATTGAAGTTGCAATATGACACGCATCACTGGAAAAAAAACACATTGGATCTAGAGTCCAGACTCTTAAAAACATCGACAAGAAAAATACTCTTGATTCAATCAGATTTAAGCTTAAATCCGGAAACAAGCCTCTTCATTTGAGCGGATTTCTTTTTGATTTAGGCTTAAATCTGATTGAATCAAGAGTCCTTTTTCTTGTCAATGTTTTCAAGAGTCTAGACTCCAGATCCGTTGTGTTTTTTTTCCAGTGATTTTATCGAAATTTTGACCGCGACTTATAGAATTATGCTTGTTTCTCACTGAAGGAAAATTCTAATACGGCGCCGCCTCTTCACCTGTTGCAGGTTCCGGAAAAAATAGCGAAAGGCACCAACAACACGCCTTTGGAGAGACAGCTGATTGAACTAGTCCACAAACACCCACAGCTGTACGACACAGGCCACGAACATTACAAGGACATAGAGAAAAGGGACAAGATCTGGGGTGAAATAGCGGAAGAATTGGATCTGTCAAGTAAGTACAACTTTGCGATTGAAAATTCGCTTCCAAACTCCCTTACTCAAGTACCTCTGCAAAGCTGCTGTAGAGATCATCAGGGTTCGAGCCTTACTCAGCCGTTTTAAAGAAGGACGTCATATGAGCTTTCAGGCGTTATCATATTTTCTTCAATATAAAGCGAATTTACGGGGAAGATTGTAAATATTTTTTTTTTTTTTTTCAGATTTTTCAGACAATTATTTTTGCAATCTGATCTAAAATATCTGGAAAATCCAAAGGTAAAATGCATAACTTTCCTCAAAAGCGCACAGGAAAATTAGGCAACTCTCGAATGTTCATACAATGTTTATCCTCAGCACGACAGTATAGGGCTCAGAAATTTCCTCTGTTAATAGCAATCCTACAGAAAAAAAAATTATGCAATAATTCTATTGGTGTATCTCAATTAAAGTGTCATTGACTATGAGAACTCCCCAACAATCTTGAAAATATATAAAAAATAATGCAACCAACAGGATTTTTTCATGCGAGTAGCAATTTAAATCTTTCCGTGCGATATCAATCGACAATAATCCAAGATATTATGGTAAATTTGGGGCACGAACATTACCTAATAATCTTGCGTACTTTTATTTCAGTGCCTCAATGTAAATCAAAATGGAGGACTCTAAGAGATGCTTTCGCCAAGCAGTACAAATTAGTCCAAAGAAGTCAAATCACGGAGGATTTTTCCTGCGTTAGGTTCAAAAACTATGAGCAACTTTCGTTTCTCAAAGCCTTCATTAAACCAAGAGAGTAAGTATTTCCGGAAACATCCTACCTAAGCCTCAACATCAAAGCAGTAAGTGCTACAATAACAACTGCCTATTCGTGTTTTGCGATTACGGATAAATACGTAAGAATCTTTGAGAGGATCTCATTTTACTGCATGGAATAGGGTCCTAGATTTCAAGGATTTTTCATCAGCAAAATCAAGCACTTTTAAAAATCTTCCAAGAACGTCGGAGAGAGGTTTTATCAACTTCAAATGATGTGCGGAAAAAAACTAATAACCTTCAAACATGCTTTTAATAATACCTGCTAGTAGAGAGGCAAAATGTTACGGAATCCATTAGATATTTGGGGGCCTATGTGTACATTGTCACACTGTACACATGTGGAAATTTTCACCTGTCAACCATCGACCATCATCGGGCGAAAAAAACCTCAAAGTTAGGAGATAAACATCTCCTAATTTGACTTCAGCCTTGCTCGATAAAGGGTGTCTACTAAAATTTAATTATGGATTATCCTCATTTTTTCTGATATTTTAGACGAAATTTTCTGATTTATAGGCAGGACCAAATTGACACTCATTTTATTTAAAAAATTACCAAAAATGAAATGGATCAAAAGTTTTCCTAGTATTTTCCTGAGGACATCGAATTTCCTGATATTTTCCTGATGACATCGAATTTCCTGATATTTTTCTGATGATACCGAATTTCCTGATATTGTCGGGTTTTTACTGACGGTAGACCCCATGCACAAGATAGATCAGATCATATGATCATCATCATATTATAGTGCGGAGTTCCTAAAATAAACTGTATCTGGTCACGGACCCTGCTCTCAAAGACACGATAGTTTGTTAATGTACCTTCAAATCCCGTTTCCAGCCCTGTGATAACGGAGGACATGCTGCGGGCCGGCGGGCAGGACTACCACCTGAGCCTGACCTACAACCTGATGACGGGCGCCGCCTCGGAGGACGCCCTCCTGGACGACGCCGACAAACCGGACGTCCTGGTCAACGGCGACCAGAGCATGGACACGACGGCCAGCTCGGACCCCAAGCTCGACGCGTCCTCGGACGTCAACGTCAACGGCTACTCGACCGGCGGCGGCGCGGCGACGGAACCGACGTGGGACGACCCGAACGAGGACGATCTCCTCCTCTTCAACGAGCCGCAGGTGATGCTCACGTCGTCGGACACGTCCATCACGACGGAGCGGCGGCGGACGGTCCGCGGGCACGCCGTCAACCTCAAGAGGAAGATGGACGTCGAGGAGGACCCCATCGTCGTGTTCTTCAGGTCCATGGGGGACGTGGCGCGGTCCTACGTGAAGGAGATCCAGGCCGAGCTGAGGGAGAGGGTCCTGGGGTTGATGCTCGAGGCCGAAACCAAGAACTCCAAGCTCCTAAAGAAGGGCAAGGGGAAGGACGCCAGGAACGACGCGAACTCGTAGTCGTTCCGCGGGGGTTTCTCGCTCAGAAAGTCGGAGAGAGGAGATCCTCTTTGGTATTCAGAAGTATCGTGAAATTTCGCTTACGAGATTATGTATAATTTTCACTGGGGCACCTTTATAGGGAGAGTATGGACTTGTCTCTGGTATGGACACGCAGTGATCCGATATTAAATCCCTAGCGGGGAAGAAAAAAAATCCCGAAATCCCCAGATTTGCTCAAATATCCCCAAAATATCCCTAGATTTTGCAAAAGACCGCCATTTTTTACGTAGAATCATGACGTCATTCGATGTATCGATTTGCAATATTTAAATCTGATTGGCTCGTTTGAATTTTGCTGCTCTCTGAAAGCAGTGCTAATCCAGACCAATAAAATGAAAGAATATTAGTTGAGTTCTTATTATTGTTTTTTTACTGTTGAAGGCAGTTGAATGTCAAGTACATCGAGTGACGCAATCGTTTTAATTTCCGGCTTATTTACGGGGAAAATAGTGTTGCCAAAAAGGCCTACAAAATATGGATGAAAAAATATTTTCGATGGTCGAAGTTGGAATTGAGGTTCAAAAGTCGATTTTTGCTTACGTTACCTCATCAAAAAAAATCCCTAGATCCCTAGAAATTCCGGAAAATCCCTAGATCTAGGGATAAATCCCTAGACATCGGATCACTGTAGGACACGTCGAAAATTTGAAGGTTAGGTTCGATCAGGTCATGTAACTTAGTCTTGTAGAGCCCAAAAGGACAGCCAACCTACGAATTCGAATTATCCAGCGGCACTGATTTTCACAATTCTTACTACCCGTCGTTTCATAATAATACTTTTACACTGGTGCAGTGATCAAAAATTATAGAGGCATGTATAAAACTTTGATTTCGCATGAACTTTCTCAGTTTCGAAGTCTTACTCCTTAAAGACGCTTGTTTACAATGCGCTGTCGGTCATATTGATTAATCTTTCGAATGCATAGGTTGGCAGCGGCACTTTTCTGGTGATTTTCGTTTTACCTGTTGTCGCCCTTCTTCGGCCCTAAGAGCTACATAAATTGACGTGTTCAAACTCTCCCTATAAAGGTACTCTAATTTTCACTTGTGTAATTTCTTAAAATCTCATGAAAATTCAAATGTCTCGAAAGATTAGGGATATTTGGGCGGGAAATTAAGCAGAATTTCTTATTTTAAACCATCTGAAGTCCATTTGGATAAATCTAGTCCAACCCAAGAGTCAAAATCAAACCTACAACGTGATCAATTTTGATTCAAAATCGTTGAAAGTTCGTTACGTTGCCCGCTGGCTTAATTTTAGTGCGGGTTGCATACTCAACTCCTGCAAAAATTCATAATTTCACTCTAAATACGATAAAATTGAACGAAAAGTAGGTGGACTTGTCTTTTTCTTGCACGATCTAGTAGGAAGACGGGAATTTAACACTTTCCTAATTGTTAAAAGTGAGAATAAATGTGTCAGTAAAGTAGGATAAAATTTAAATTTTTGTGAAATTTTTAGGTTTTAAGGAGGTCATATGAAATTCAATTTTTCATCTTTGCTTATGATGCTAGGTGTGACGGTAGTGAGAACAGGGTTTCTTCTTCTTTGCAACTATTTTTTTTTTTTTTCGACGAATTTTCTTTTTCAGTTAACTTACTTTGAGATCGAGGTAATTTTTCCCTCAAAAATTATTAGTTCGTAGGAGAAAATACTTCCTGAAGTCTGACCTCAATAGGTGGTCATTTGGAGGAGAGTCGAATCTAACTTCCGAATGAAACTGAATCCCAGGCTGTTTTGCGATAAATCTCAAACTTGTCTTGGGAGGTTTTTCCTGGAATATTTCTCCAAATAATCTGGTCTCATTTACATCAAACTTATTTCAATTGGAGTTGTTCATCAAAATTAATTTGATGAATATGTATTAATTTTTAAGTTCCTAAAAACGCTAGGTCAAGTTGCCATACCGGAAAAAGCAGATACCGTATGTATTCGGTCTTTACCATGAATCGATCGAATATCGAACCATTAGTGTTATTCTTCGAGTCATTCGTCTTCTTTTTCTATTCTATTCTGTACTCTAAGTTACACTCAAATTCAACCTTTACAAACCTTAGTTACCAGCACTAGCTAATTGACTATTTTGTAAGACAATTATCCAAAAAAATTTCAGGCGAAACGAAAATTTTGCAGAAAGAATGATATTTTCGAACGTTCATTATTATTATTAACGAAAATCAAAATCGATTGAAATGCGCAAACCTTAAAGAACCTTAAACTCATAGGAGTATTACGGTTTTCTTTAAAAATATCTGAACTCATGACCTTACTCTTCGAAATTAATCCATTCCACTATTTTTTCTAGAAATAAGTTAGTTTACTTTTTTGTAATTGTAAAGATTATTTTTGTGATATTTGATTTAATAAACAATATGTTTTTGAACTTGTTGAAATTATTGAATATCAAACTGGGTGTGGTTGAAATTATTGAATATCAAACTGGGTGAGCTGTGAATCTATTGGATATTAGGTAAATTGAAATTTAAGGGGCTTGCAGCAACAGGTTTCAAAATACAAACACAGAACGGAGTACGAATTGGAAAGCCCTCTTTTCCGTGTTCTATATTCACGTGCATAGTCGAGGGGTGCCGAGTTTAAAACACTAAAAAATACTTTCGATTCACTCACCCTAACTGAAGCTTTCAATACAGGAATACGACTGCGCGATCTTGTCTCCATGATAGAAAATTTAACACTTAGGATGGCACATTAAAAATTAAAGATGCATCACGTTGAGGAGTAATTCAACCATTAACCATTTATTTAACTAAAAAAGATCGTCTTCCCAGGCGAACCTCAGCATGCTATTTATTCCAAATCTTTTGCGACCACAAAAACAGCTAATTCAAGTTTGGATAAGTTTCAAAATACGTTCAAAAAAACAACGCATAAACTCGATGTATACGTAGAGGAAGGTTCGGTGACTTGCGTCCATCGTGTTATGCGGTTGTAACGACTTTTTCTAATCTCTATTCAATGCTGATTATCATCTAGATTAAATACTTTCATTCATTCTTTTTTCAAGAAAATGTCATGACTGTTTTCAGAAAACGATTAAAGCTTGCAACCAGGTCTGAATTTTTTCGAGAACTTTTCATATCAAGGAATAGATCGAAACAAATTTTCCACATTAGGAGGAAAGTTTGTATTAATAATCGAATTATAGGTGACCCCTCACCTTAACGGCATCAGTAGGAAGAGTTTAGCGAGAAGGTATCAAGCGACATTGACTTGAAATGGCTAAGGCTGAAAAATGCGTATCTCCATTGAAACTTCTTGAAATTTCAGACCAACAGGGTGTCTACTAAAACAGGCTGGTCCAAAATAAGTACTTTTACAGTAATTTTTCAGTGCATTCTCAAGAGATTCAGTACCTCCTCTGACAGAAAAATTCAGAACTTTTTCAGTACTTCCATTTGACGAAATTCGAAAAATTTTCGCCAAAAATGACAAATTTTTCTAAGTGCTCCCTCACCAAAGCCAATCTGTAAACTCAGAAACTGTAATCCTGTTGAAGGGTCGTGAGTTGGCGATACAGTTTCATACTCGATCGCCTTCAATTGACCGGTAGTAACCCAGGAAAAGGTATTGGTGTATGAGTAATTGCAGCTTCAGTATTTGAAGGGGATACATGCCTAGAGATGGCCACCCGCTTATTTGCTCTTCGGTGCATTTAATGCAGTACCTCTGAAAAATCTCATGTCCGTTGTGACTGGCAGGATTCGAAGCTGCGTATTATATGTCTCTATTTTTGCTATATTTTAAACGTCAAATGAAATGGAGATGTTGCATGTGTGAGGAATTTGCGATTTGACTGTTGATTCTCATGCAAAAGTTCGCAAGAAACACGATGGTGCCTCTGGTTTTCTCTAAAATTAACTCCCAAGCTAAAAAAAGCTCTCAAGTTGAGGCCAAAATGGAGGGGATATACCACGCTATCCTGATGAGAGTCCACCTCTACATCAAGACGAACTCTCCATGCAGAGATAGGGAGCAATTACATTGACAGGGCTGCCACTTTATTTGGGGACTCTAAACCTGAAAACACGGCATCCCTGCTAATGTATTTGCTCCCTATCTTTGCATCGTGAGTTTGTCTTGATGTGGAGGTGGACTCTCAGGATAGCGTGAGATATCCCCTCCATTTTGACCTCAACTTGAGAGCTTTTTTTGAGCTTGGGAGCTGATTTCAGAGAAAACCAGTGGCACCATCGTGTTTCTCGCAAACTTTTACATGAGAACCAATAGTCAAATCGCGAATTCCTCACACATGCAACATCTCCATTGACACCCTGGTATATGAACTTCAAGCTAATTGGCTGGTCCCTCTTCGAAAAAACAAAATAGGAGTAGAAATTTGGAGACACCGCATGGAGATACGCCGTTTCGCAATTTAGCTATCAATATCATATTTTCGGCCGCAGAGACGACCAGACTGCGCCTGCGCAAGGATGGGCGCAGCGTGCGCGAACTACGCGAACGTAACACGGGCTGATACCGATACCAGAGAATCAGGATCAATGTCATTCCGCTCTGGTGGCTAAGTACAACTGCACACCTCATATTATCCCCCCCCCCCCAAACCCCTCCTCGGCACCATCTCCGGGGTCATCCTATCACCTGTCGATATGACGCGCGGAGCCATGAGAATTGGTTTGCTCCATTTTCACATTGAACTTGAATCGCCGCGCCGCGCCGGCCTGCATAACTGCAACAAACGGCGGCGGGGGGAGGGGGAGGGGGGGCTATCGATCGGGAAACCGTGATCGCGGATCGAGGTATACGGAATGGACCGTATACCTACTTTCGAGAGTTATATTTAACGCCGGGGTCGGGAAACTCGAGGCCCGACGCACGGAGGATCGAGTCAATCAGAGAGGTCGGACATGAAATTTTGGACAAAAACTGCAAATTTTGATGTTTAATTCGTCACATTTTAACTCACAAAGGGCATTTTACGAGGAAACCAATGAAACTACTGTCAGAGCCTCTAAGTTGTGTATAAACGGAGTTATGAGCGTTTAAAGTTTCCAGATTATTTGTATTTCCGACCTCTCCTATCGACTCCATCCACTGTGCGACGGGCGGATTATTGAAATTGCCAGGGTTGCCACAGGATTTAGAAAATGAAATTCCCTGACATTTCCCTGATTTCCCTGCCACATTTTGGTAAAATTCATTGACAATATTGAGGATATGACAGATGGTTAAGAAGACGTAATTGAAAATAGTTTTCAGGCAAAATGTGTTGTTTGAAACTTCAAACCCATTTTAGAAAGCGACTGAACGCGATTTAACAAATTTTCCCGGGCATTTTCGTTATTTTCCCTGACATTTTCCGGTTTTTCCCGACTTTGGGTGAAATGGAGAATTTGCATGCAAATTTTTTATCGCTTCATCTGAAAGTGCCTAAAGAGCTGATTTCAAAGTATTTTTTATAATTTTTTTCTGATATGGGAAATAGTATAAAAATAGATTTAAAAGTGAGAAAATGCATCACCAAGGGACGTCATCTGGCGGCATTTCCCATTAAAACACATGCATTTTTGCAGATTAGACCATTTTGTCATATCTTCTCCAATTATTGTTCAATTCATGAACCAAGGGTATCCTCATGTTCAGCTCACTCAGTAATTTCCACTTAAACACGAAATTAATCAAATTTCAGACACCTGCAAATTCTCTATTACTTTTTAATAAGAGAACAACCAAAAGGTGCACATTACTTACCCTGGGAACTTTGTTATTTGGCACGTTGAAATTGTTAATGTTATTGGGAGCGGCGAGGTGTCCATTGAGTGCTAAGATAGTTTCCACCTCGATCTGTAATTTAGAGAACAAATAAATTACTTAACAAAATAAACAAAAAAAGAAAAAATCCTGATAAATGTAAGGAGCGAAAATTGAGAAAGATGGGGAGAAAGTTATAAGTAAAACAGGAAAAATAAAATTTCGAGGTCCAAAAAGTAAAGGAAAAACAAATGTTTTAAGTCCACGATTAATTAAAATGAATGGATTATTATTATTGATAAACCTATGTCGGAACTACATTTTTATGCATTCTTTACAGCATGTCACTATTTCGAATGAAAACTGCGTTACACGAATGCACGTCCATCCATACAATCCGTGCGTAAAAAAAAGCTGGGATCAAATCACATGTCGACGACGTAAGTCCACAATCACATATCTCGTTTGCGGTGTCAAAAAATCTCCGCCTCTATGTTATTTTTTCAAAGGAGAACAAATTGACATCATTCCTTGAAGTTTTTACAGAATTTTCTTCGCAGAGAGAGGAAAAATCACGGCAGTTTTGAAGAATTGCCGTGGAGTTATAGTTTTCCGTTTAAAAAGTAGAGTTACACAGGAAGTCTGCGACGCGACGTCGCAAACCGAGTTATGTGATGGTCAACTTATACACTGTCAATGTGGCTGTTTAGTGTCAACCACATGACAATCTCATGAAAACACTCCTCTAGACTCCGGCACCAAATACTCAAATTTCAGTTTCCGTAGACTACGTTACAATTCAGGGGCGGTGCAAAATCTCAACGATCCTTCAATCCTGGGATTGCAGGCTTGCTGTGTATACTAGTCGAGTGTAAACTGCAGGCGGTATGTCAGACACCGGGAAATAACGAACATTGAAGCGCTCACCGTGGAGCAATGCGTGAAGTATTCAAGCAGTCTTGTAGGCGCTCCGTGCCGACCGCACCGTTTGGCGCAATGCGTGAAGTATTCCTAGAGTCATGTAGGCGCTGATATACGCGTTTCAAGCTGATCGCACTGTGTTTGACGCTATTATTCAAACTCGCGGAATCGAGTGTTTCTCAACTAGCTACTTTGGTTGTTTGTGTCAATGCACAAAAGCCAAAGACCCATCACAGGGCAAAAAATAAAAATAATAAAAAAAAACACCTTGTTACGAAGACACGTCACTTAAAATGTGCTAGAAAATCAAACTGATTTTCTTCGTTTTATTTGCACATGTATCAATAGTCTTGAATCGAAACATTGAGAGTAAAAACTGAGCTACTTATATCTAATACTATCAAAAGGAATACAAACCCTCTATAACATGCGATGAACCCAATGTCATAACCAAACTTCTGAAACTCTTAGCCTCCCTTAATTTAAAAATCTAAATTTTTGTGCATACACCCATCTTCCAAATTATTTGTAAAGAAGGTAATAGCCTAGGATGCTAAATGTCTGTAAATTAAAAAACCAACTAACTAACTATATCACGATAACGAAACTCTGTTAGATATCACTGTAAACCCGAATTACGGATTGACCTGATCTATAAGCTACTGAGATTTAATGATCAGCTTCATTATAATAACAAGGAGTCCCTGATGGATTTTAGTACTGGTTCAAAAAGTTTGTCTAAGTTCCAGCGATTTTAGCTAGTTAACCGCAAATATTTAAGCGCCAACTTCGGCCACGATTTCAATTATTGAGGCCCTAATAAAAAATGATAAGGTTCATTTTGCGCCGCATGGCGCCTGTCTGATCTGGATAGTTGGACACTGATGAACACATGGACTGATTTAGTGGTTGCATCATTCTTGCTATATTCAACACATTGATTTGCGATAGTTTCGACATTCGACTAATCGATTAACGATGGTTCCAACCAAAGCAATAGAACATAACCGCGTATCGTGTCTGAATTGAACTGAATTCTAAATTCTGTGTAAAGTTGACTCTATTCTTAACAATTTATAAATCAATCAATTACTCATCGAACACGAGAAACGCTTGCAAGAAACACTTAAACTCATTGTGCCACTGTGACTCGAATATGACAAAAATTTTGTTTACTCGTGATGGAACCATCGCACTGCGATGAAAAGTGTATGACGTAGCCACTAAATCAAGTTAATGCTACATGCTCATCATTTAATTAATTGGCGAAAATCAAAAGCTCAACTACATACTAAAACGTGGATTCCCGTGTGCATTACGACCGCGTAACCGTAAAATACACGAAAAAAATTAAATTGCAGATTTAACAATTCAATTGCTAAAAAAAGTGACTGCAATGTTTCAACGTAAATTTTACAACAAAAAATGCTATTTTAACCTCTATTGTAAGCTAATTTAACCACGGGGGTGGTTGAAGTAGCATTTTTGTGTTGTGAAATCTACATTGATGAAACATCGCAGTCACTTTTTTTCGCAAATTGAATTGTTGAATCAGCAATTTAATTTTTTCCGTGTAGCCATGTTCTTCCCCTCATACACACACCCACACATATGATTATACAAGTGCACGGTAATCACCCGACGTTGTTCCGAGAATTCCCATTTCCGATACTTGTGTTTTCCGGAAAACTTTATCCTTGGAAAGTTTCACATTTGTGTGGCTTGTAGACACCCTGGTCTGAGTAACATTCACTGAATAGACTGATTTAGTGGCTACGTTATGGTTCAAATGTAAACAAACACATAACCTTGTTTCAGATTCGCTGGTGGTGAAATGCGTCCAAGTGTTTATTACAGTCGAAATTTCTCATGTTTATACGGAGTCCTCAATTGCTTTTGGATCGGTCAATGGCTAAATTTTAATAAATTAACACAATTAACCAGAGACAACAATTAACTCACGAAGAATTTGTACACGAGGTAATGTTAGTTTGTTTTGGTTTGAACCGAGAGTTCGATTTTATATCAAATGACGTAGTCACTGAATCAGTTTATTGCCCATCTCTTGCTTGACTTATTACGAAATTGTCACCCTGAAAAAACAATTCTTTGGATTCACTCACTTCAGGTGTGACTCGCCTTTTCCAGGTAGGAATTTGACTACGGTGAAGATGGTCCATTTCCGCGTGAGCTAGGTGACAACCAAGACGGACACCGCGAGACTGAATGGTCATTCCTCGATTTAGTACTCCAACCAGGTCCGTTTTTGTTCGGAAATTGATAAGAGATAGGAGATGTAGGCAACGTGCAGAGGGCTGGAAGGTGCCCGAATGTGCGCAAGAAATTAATCGTTACAGGGTCAAGGAACTTGACACATGGTTGCCACGATTCCTTCATTTTCAAATTCCCTAACTTTTCCGGATTTTTTTGGCTTTTTCCTAATTAACTCCAAAATTGTCTGATTCCCTGACTTTCCTTGAACTTCGAACAAAATTTCCAACTCCCCGCCCTAAAAAATTTCTGATTTTTGCGCCGTGGTCACAGGTCAGTAGAAAAATAAGGGAAAATTCCAGTTGGAAATACCAAACACTTTCCCGTTGGAACTAATTTGCGAGTGGAACTTGGCAACTTATTAGCGTTCTTTCGTCCAAAAACAACGAATTGATACCCCGCTCCGCCTAAATTCTCAATAAACGTATCAGGCATACAGAAAAAAAAAGGAAGTGTTTGCATTTCGGGCATCTTGGAATTTTTTTGATGACGTAGGTCAGCACAGCGACTTTTATCATCGATTTTCTTGGAAATGGTGTAATTTATGGCGAAAGTCATTCTATAAAAAGTGCTTGATTATTATATCATGAGTTGATTTAAGCAAAAATAATGGGACATTATGGTCCGTTCTTCATACTTCGAATTCCAGATTTCGCTGGCCAGGTTGTGTTGTACCGACCTACGTCACAGGGTAAACAAACCTCAAGATGCAAACACCTCCTTTTTTTCTATGCGTATCAGGAATCGGACCAGAGATCTTAAATGATGATACGGTCCATCGTGGATTCAGATGCAAAGATTATCGTGGCATCGTATCGGAGGAGCGGGGCCTCGATCGATAGATGAACCGTTATTGAACCATTTCGATCGATAGATAGCACGGCTAAGATAGGGGTTTATCAATCGAGGCGATTCGATATATCGATCCGACGATCGACTAGCCTGCAAAAGGAGAGATCCTGGAATAAGATGCAAAGATTACCGTGGCATGGCATCGAAGAAGCGGGGCCTCGATCGATAGATGATCGATAAGTAGCACTGCTAGGATAGAGATTTATCGATCGAGGCGATTCTATCTCGATCGGACGATCGACTAGCCTTCGAGAAGAGGTCTCGTGGATTAAGATGCAAAGATTATCGTGGCATCGCAACGAAGGAACGGGGAGGGGGGGGGGCTCGATCGATAGGTGAATCGTTATCGAATTATTTTGATCGATAGGTGAATCGTCATCGAATTATTTTGATCGATAGGTGAATCGTCATCGAATTATTATGATCGATAAATAGCAATGCTAAGATAGGAGTTTATCGATCGAGGCGATTCGATATCGCTCCGACGATCGACTATAGCCAGCGAGAGGAGGAATCGTGGATTAAGATGAATCGTTATCGATTTATTTCGATCGATAAAAAGCACTGCTAAGATAGGGTATGGAGGCGATTCGAGATCGATAGGACTTACCTCTTTGCCTTTAGTCTCGCCTTTTTCGAACCATTCGACTGTGACGGAGCGTGTATCGGGGTTCACGCCGGACACGATCGCCGAGTGGACACGTCCTGCAACATAAACAATTCTGTTAGTCAGCTCTACGATCTCGGACACCGAGGGCTCGGAAAATTCTTCCCTGGCCAACGCTGCCCTGCTGAGGAAAAACAAAAAAATATCGAGGGAAACACGTTTTCACCTGGGTTATAATCAGAGGGTTGCCACAGAATTTAGAAAATGAAATTCCCTGACATTTCCCTGACACATTTTGGTGAAATTCCCTGACAATTGGACGGAGTTAAACAGAAAGGAACCAAGCCACATCGGGATCGAACCGAGAAAAAGAGGTTTAAAGTTTGGCTCCTGCATAAGACTCAATGTAAAAGATAAGCTTCAAGTTCAATTTCTGCAAAATTCGCTCCAACAAAAACTTTGAATTTTTGACGATAGCTAGTAGAGCAATGGTTGAGTTCAAAACCATTCATAACTCAATTTTTCCCAAAATGTGGGTTGGTTCCTTTCTGCTTAACTCAGTCCAATTGAAGATGTGACGGATGGTTAAGAGCACTGGAAAAAAAACACATTGGATCTAGGGTCCAGACTCATAAAAACATCGACAAGAAAAAATACTCTGATTCAATCAGATTTAAGCTTAGATCAAGAACCAAGCCTCTTAATTTGAGCGGATTTCCTTTTGATTTAAGCTTAAATCTGATTGAATCAAGAGTCCTTTTTCTTGTCAATGTTTTCAAGAGTCGGACTCTAGATCCAATATGTTTTTTTTCCAGTGAGGACAAAATTAAAAATAGTTTTCGGGCAAAATTTCTTGTTCAAAATCTCAAACCCATCAAAGAAAGAAAATGAAGGTGATTAACCACAGCTTCTGATGGGGAAATATCGATAGAGCGCAAAGCAAGCCACGCCACTGGTCTGGAGGCTTCTACAGCGTTATTCAATATTCGCATGGCAGCATGAGACGATTTATAATCGAGCCAACGTTCAAGTGGATTTTCTCGCGCGCTTCTTGTTAGTGCACAGCAAGGTTGCCAGATTGTGTGAGACAATCTGGATACTTAACACACAGTTAAATGGAGAAATGAGCTGAATTTTCAGAAAAAGCGTGGCAATCAACAATGGTGCACAGCACCGGCGCTTCTCAATCAGTGAGGAGAACAGAAAAAATGAGCAAAAAAATCAAAACTGCATCTGCGGGCCGATTATTGAAATTGATAGACAAAGCTATAGACAAAGGAGACAAAAGAGATATGGAGAGATCCTATTGGTGGAAGCGGGTGGTTGCAATGGACAAAGGAGGTAGGTAATAGACTAACGAACGGCAACCCACGAGAGACCCGACAGTTAGTCTATCATTTTCTCCCTTTGTCTATAGGAACCACTCATTTCAACCAATAGGATCGCTCCATACTCGCTATGTCTTCTTTGTCTATAGCTTTGTCCATCAATTTCAATAATCAGTCCGCTGGAGGGGGTCATCGCTGGTGGACAGTGGCGAGGCGTGAATGATCGATCTTCGATATTTCCGCATTTGAAGCTGCAGTAAAGAATCGATTATTAACGAACACCCAGTATATCGATCCTTTGCCATAGGTTTAAATGGCAGATTAATCGATATATCGCAAATTACGCCACGTCTATTGGCGGATCCAGCAATTTGGCAACACCGGATTTCCTCCATTTAAACCTACGGAAACGTATCGATTCTTGAAGGGGCCAGGTGCTCCGACTAGAATCGATTATTTAGCATAGGTTTCACTGGAGGAAACCGGTGTTGCCAAATTACTGGCTCCGCCTCTGGCCACGTCACGTCACTGCTGGTGGATGACCAGCAAAATCTCGCTTGCATGGATTGCATTTTGCAAAAAGGAACCAATAGCATTCCAATGTTGCTAGGATGGTGCAACTTACATTTTCTGCAAGAAAATACTGAAGCCACGCAAAAAGTTAATAATATAGAGGTACTTTTCGTCTAGAATTTTTAATTTATCGAGAGTAAAGATGAAACTTGGTTAGATGATCAGTTTATATTTGCAAGGTAAATAAAGGCATTTTTCAAAATTTACAGTCCCTCAAAATGAGCTTTCCGTGTGATTTTGCTGAAAATGGACCTTTAACCCAATTTTACCCTAGCCCCCCCCCCCAAATTTTAGCGTACCCCAAAATCGTTTGACCTGCATAAGGAGACCATAGATATGGTGTTCTGTGAGAATTTTGAATGAAATCGGACAGATAGATTCTGAGATATCGCTGTACACAGATTTGGGGGACAGCTGACGGACGGACACACATTTTTTCAAGTATGGTTATTTTGACTCCTGGGACCTTAAAACGTCCAGAAATGATGAAATTTCAACTTTTTTTTCTTTTTTTTCTTTTCTTTCTTGGAGGATGACAATACTTCCTCTCTACCCTATGGGAGCGAGAAAGTAAAAAGTTGCACAATCTTAACGACATTGGAATGCTCTTGGTTCTTTTTTGCAAATTGCAACCCGATATTATTTACCCGATGTCGGCGGCTTCGGTTTCGGTGGCGATGCCGGGGGGTCGGCGGCGGGGGCGTCTTTTTTGACGTCATCGCGGATCGCGCCGGCGGCGACGTCATCCTGGTCCGTTTTCAGGCTCTTGGGCGAGGAGCAGCACCCGAAACACACCTGGAGCATCCTCCCATCCCTTGATCGTCCGATCGGAGGCAGTCTCCAGCATCCAAGTCGTCGTGTCGTACTGAGCCCCCTCGAGTGGAAAAGAGATTTTCACATCCTTGGAAACTGTCACGAAAAACTCGGACTCGTTAAGTAGTCTTTTTCACCCTTCTTTTGATAATACTGCACTTAGATACACTGAGAATGAGAAACTAGACCGCGTTAGAATCATGGGCAAAACGTAGGAGGAAACTTCGATTCACGTGAAACACCAAAGTTTTCGAGGAAGGTTGCGAGCTGATGACTGAAAGTGATAGACAAAACGATCGGACAAGGAGGGCAGGGAAAATGGAGCGATCCTATTGGTTAAAAAGAATGGTTGCAATTATTCAGTACTTCCGGACTGCCCTTAAAAAATCAGTACTATTTCCGGACTTGTAGACACCCTATTAGCACAGCAGATTAGTGCGCGATCTCTGAAATATTGTCTCTGTTAAGCACCAAGAACAGAGACAAATATAAATCAGCGAGCAGATTAAAAAGCCATCTCGACGACGCATCCTGCTAAAAAACGAAGCCTTGACGTGAGCCAGCACCAAACGATGCGAGACCCCCGTCCCGTCCGATGCAACCGAACCTTGCAACTTCAAGGCTCATTGCAAAAACGACGAATCTACCGCGGCTCTCTTTACGCAGATACGTGCTTTTAGGTTCGAGTCCCTCCACTTACTGCATTTGGTGCAGATCGGATAAACTTGGACCGACGTCCATCGCGACGTCGCACAATGGTACGAGCTAATTGCAGAACTCGGACACGAAAATGTTGGCTAAAATTTCAACATTTGATGTTTATTTCGCAACAAATTCAATTTCAAGGAGTGATTCTGAACGGAAATTTCACGAAAAAACCAATGTCACCACTCTTAAACTTTTTTGGTTTCATATTTTCGAGAATAAAAGCTTTCAAAGTTTCCAGATTTTGTCCGACATCGCTCCTATTGACCCGGTCCAGTGTGCGTCGTTCCAGTTTCGACGGTCGTAAAATCGTCCCCGAGGGAGTGGACCCAGACCGTAGGGCGCCGGTTTCCTGAGGAAAAACGCAGTATGAAAAATTGAACGTTGCCAAATTCCTTCTGATAAACCACGATTTTTCTAGAAAACCAGCGACGGAATTTCGTTGGTGGCTGGAGGATTAATTGACTGCACACTCGCGTTATTGCGAGCAAATACTACTATAAGAATCAACGCACAGAGGATTGCATACTTTCCAGGCTTAATTAAAAAACATGTGTGGTATGTAGGCAAAAATTTCGGAACTTCTTGCGGAAGTTCTGCACTTTTTCAGTGTTTCATGGTCGCCGTTAAGAAATCAGTACTATATCCGAATTAGTAGACACCCAGATGAGGCAAATTTCGATGAGACCAAGCCCGGACAGTGTATTTTACAGAACCCGCACAGCTATCTTCTTTATAATGTAGAAGTTGCTTCCGAAATTCAACGCTTTTGAATGTTGCGATGCATAGCTGAAGTGCGCTTCAGCTAGAATTGCATTTAGCAAATGGGTGGTTTTTATATGAGGACTAAAAATAAACAAGTGGTACGGAATATATCAAAAGAATATGAACTATGCAAAACGATAATCCGGGTATCGAAACTTGGCTGATTTCAAAACGCCTTCAAATGCGGCGTGATACCTCACGCATTCCGGAGAGTTCAAATAGTTGTATCATTGCGCCGTAAGAATGTGACGGAAGATTAAAATGGAAATAGGCTCCATGCACGCTGGGCTTGTCGATTTCCTTTGTCATTTTTGCAGTGGTGAATGCATAGCTTAAGTGCGCTCCAGCTAGAATAGTATTTAGCAAATGGGTGTTTTTATACGAGGATTAAAAATAAACAAGTGGTTCGGAATATATCAAAACAATATGAACTATGCAAAACGATAATCCAGGTATCGGAACTAAGCTGTTTTGAAAACGCCTTCAAATGCGGCGTGATACCTCACGCATTCCGGAGAGTTCAAATAGTTGTATCATTGCGCCGTAAGCATGTGACGGAAGATTACAATGGAAAAAGCCTCCATGCACGCTGGGCTTGTCGATTTCCTTTGACATTTTTGCAGTGGTGATTAATGTTGCCTATATCTTGTATTATATGACGACATACATTTTCGTAGCCCGAATATTATGTACAGGAAACGCAAAATAGGTACAGGCTCAAGGCTAAAACAAGTTTAAAACAATTTACGGGACGTTTCGGGACTAAACAGCTCCCATAATTAGCCGAATTTTATAAACAAGGAAAATGTAGATAAAATGATCGTGATAGATCCGTTAAATGGCTCGGGCCTAACTGATGATTTCGTGAACAGATTGTTCGGTCACCTGATTACCGGAGCACCGGTATATTATAA